ACCAAGTGGCTGTCAGATGGAGTCCTGGTTCTATCAATTACTAATTACATGAACTTGTTAAAACCAAATTAATTTCTTTGAGTCTCCTGTTTCCTCATAGGCTTTAAAAAAAAAAAAGAAATGTCTATATTAGCTCACAAACATTTTTTAAAGATCAAACTTACAATGAAAAATGTAGAAGCATTATCAAATATCTAAGCACAGTATGCTTCAGAAAGTTTCTGTGTATTCTTCACATTGCCACCATTGGTCTGCCTTGCTAAAAGCAAGTCTTTGTTGAGATAGTATCTTAATCTCGCTCCCAGTGTAGGAAGCATGACACAGGGGAAAACCCATGGGCTTTGAGGCTGACACACCTGGACTGGAGTTGCAGGTGTACCACTTACTGATTGAGAAACATGGGCAAGTTAACTTCTTTGCCTGTTTCCTCATATGTAAAGTGAGAATAATAAACACCATATATGCTCTTTGTGACAATTAGAAATAAGAAACTTTTAGCATCAAGCAAAGTGAAATCCCTGGCATAGGATATATTCTTAGTCAGTACCATTGATAGAAATATTTAGTTTTATACTAGTAAGAATTGATTTATTTATAATAGTGTTAGCTCAGGATGTATGGTATCAAAGCGTCTATTTTTTTAACAGCAGTTCGTGGCAAAAGATTTAATCATTGACTTTCACACACTTACTTCCAGATGCTACAAGCTGAGGAGACTTCCAGCACCTCTCAGTTGACTGAATTGATGATGGCTTCCGAAACAACTTTACTGGCTCAGGAGCCACGAGAGATGACTGAAGATGTAATCGAGCTTCACGGGAAATTCCTAATTAATTTAGAAGGTAAGAAGGTGGAAGTAACAAGTGGTATCTAAAGAATTGGCAATAATTATAAAGTCATCTCCAACTTTCCCAGTGTACTAGATTTTCTAAAGGAACACATATTTGGGATCCACATCTTTCCCATGTAAATAAATATACAACCTAGTGCCAGGTTTCTCCAGCCAGCTCTTGAAAGTATCTACCTGATGTCTTGGGACTGAATACTAGAAGGGGCAATTCCTTTATCTTTTTTTTTTTTTTTTTTGAGACAGATCACTTGTTGCCCGAGCAGAGTGCCATGGCGTCAGCCTAGGCTCATAGCAACCTCAAACTCCTGGGCTTCAAGCGATCCTCCTGCCTCAGCCTTCCCAAGTAGCTAGGACTACTTGCACCGATGCCGGCTAATTTTTTATATAGTTTTTATTGGGCCATTAATTCTATTTCTAGTAGAGATGGGTTCTCACTCTTGCTCAGGCGGTTTGAACTCTGCCTTGAGCGATCTCCTGCCTCTGCCTCCCAGAGTGCTAGGATTACAGCATGAGCCACCAGCCCCCCCCCCGGCTTTATGTTTTTGACTGAGTAATAGTCACCATAGTTAAATTAGTCTGATTGTCCTTTCCCTTTTGCGTCCTGTCCTTTGATACTTAGTATCCAAGCTACTGCCCAGCCCTGCCTACTCTCCCGCAAAGTTGATCTAAACTTTCCTATTGTGCACCATCCCAAATTAAAATATTATAGCCATTCTAAATGTTAAGGAAGCCAATCTGCTGCTCATTCTCACCATGGTATCTCAGTTGAGTTTTCTGTCAAAATTTCTGTTATAGGAGATTTTATCAACTTGAATCATCTCTATTGATGGAGGTAGAGTAGCATTAATAGAGTAACAAGCAGATATTTGGGCAATGGTGATACTGCTTATATTTTTATAATAGCTTTCAGGTACTAGCAGGAGATGGGGGCCAATTTATAGGCATCAGTTTAAATTTGGGCTTTGCAACATTGACCATGTATTAATAGTAAAGTTTCTGGCCTAATTTGCTTTTTTTTTTTAAAAGCCAGTCAAATTTAGCAGTGGGGGGTTGAATACCAACTTTAGTGACACTAATGTTAAGTTCTGATAACCCACTACCATCGGACCACCCCTAATTTGCTTTTTATAAGGTTCAGGTACATTCTCTGCACAACGACTAGAAAATAATTTACTCTTTATCAGTCTGAGGTCTAAGGGTTAATGGTGGTGGAGAAGGTTTTGGTTCTTTTTGTCCAAACTGAGAAGTTTTGAGTGAGGACACTACAGTTGACTAAGAATTTTAAAAAGCCAAATTATAGTGACAAGTATGTAGCTGGAGAGAGAGGCAGTGTGTTACTCATCAGACCTATACCCGGATTCAGAGCCAGAAAGACTGTTCTGCCTGAGTAGATACAGAACTCAGTGACTTGGGGAAAATTAGTTAATCTCACCAGGTTATAGGGTCTCAGATTCCTCAGCTCTCTTCAGTTGTTCAGGTTTATGATCCCATTATCTTGGCTAGTTAGGCAATAGGACTGATGGGGCAGTACCTGACAAGCTCTACCAAGGCAGGAAGGAGAAAGAAAACTTTGAAGAAGGAGCCCCTATAAACCTATTAAGAAATGATACAAGTTGAATGGCCTATTAGAAATACTGATGCATTTTTCTTTCATAGGTGGTGACATTCGTGAAGAGTCTTCATACAAAGTAATTGTCATGCCAACTACCAAAGAAAAATGCCCTCGCTGTTGGAAGTATACAGCTGAGTCTTCAGATACACTCTGTCCTCGATGTGCAGAAGTTGTTGGTGGAAAATAGTACCCCGGTGTTCACAGCTCTCTGAGCAAGAACCCTCCTGACAGTACAGGCTGCAAGTTGAGATGGATTGTTTACAATATTGGAAAGAAATCCAAGATCTAGGTAATGGGTGGAAGAGTAAATAATGGAGGATGAGGGTCAAAATAAAAAGTATAAAGTATTTCCTATAACTAGAGAAAGAATTATGTATATACATGCAGAAATATTTATATGTGGATGGATATGTATCTCTAGATATCTATAACCTACTTATTCAGAACAGACACATATTCAGCTTGCCTTCAAATATGGCCGAACAGAAAATGTTTTATATTTTATAAATATTTTTGACTCAGTATTTAAGTTCTATGATGTCTAAAAATAAAGGCATTCTGGAAAACTATTGCCTGATATTGGTGCAGAAGTTGTGATATCAAGTGAAAATAAGTGTCGTTTTGAAGGGGAACGGCAAAGGTGTGTTTCCCTTGAGATTCAAAAGTCATTTCATTCTGCCCACTAGTGAACATCAGCCTTTTCAGAATAGCTAGTGTTTTGGGTTGGATTAGAAAGCGGGGAATTTGTTATTAAAGATGGGAATAAATCTCTTAATACTTACCCTTATGAATATTCAGGAAACAACATGAAAGCTGAAAATTTATTTCACTAATATATATAAGTTCACAACAATGAACAGACACAGAAAATAGCAGTATATACAGAATTTCACTACTTACAATACAGTAGATAAATAATATTCATTTTATAAACATTTCAGCATTGGATTGAAATAGGGATGGCCAATTCTTTTCAGCAGAAATCTAACTTTCAGAAGCCCAGCAAACCCATCTCTATCCGGGTGAGAGATGGCTTTTCCTATTGCTAAAGTGTAAAAATGTTTGTCTCTTATAAATGAAATGGACCACAACAACTCCTCTAAGTGAATGTTATATTTAATGTAAGCCTAGTATTATTAAATCTCAGATTTTTGTGGTTTTAGATTGCAATTAACCATGTTTTAAAAAAGCAATTTAAATGTAATAGTGTTTACTTTGACCATAGATGAATTTTTATAACTAAGGTGAAACTTCTTGTTCTTTTTGCTAAAGTGTGAAGCATTTAGAAGCTTGGTTCTATATTACCTCTTTATCTACATTTATCCTGGCCCCTCTAGTTCTACATCTAAACACAACCTGTAATGGAAAAGTTATGATTATTTTAATACTTTTGCTTTCCTTCAGCATCATACAATAGAATTCATTTAACAAGATAAAAAAATGTATTTAACATTAATGAAGAAAGATGTGGTGGGACGGTGGGTATATATCCAGGAAAACACTACTGATTATTGGCTTCCCATCAATAACTGCAGTAAGTACCACATACCTTTGTTTCAGAAACCACCCATTCTACATAAAATCTAACTCCTTTATTTGTGGCTCTCCATTGTTCTGGAATGTATACATATATATTTATTTTTCTTCCTATTTAACTGATTTTAACCGTATAACTCCAAATTCAACTTCTTAAAATTCTATGAATGTTAAATTTTAAGATAACAAATCTAACTAGAGACTCAATGATTTGTGTTATGGTTCTGTGAGTCATATTTCAGCTTATTATTCTCAGCAATTCCCAGATTTATGTGTCCTACCAGAGTAAGTTTAACCAGTTTTATCTAAAATGCTTAAGTATCCCCCTAAAAGGATAATGGAATTGAGGACTTAATCTTTAAAAATGCCTATAATTCTAAGTTTCTTGGACCAGCCTTCTTAAATTCATACTACTTTCAAAGTATTTAGAAAAACCACAGGAAGAACTAATCTCTTACAAGTGACTATTTCTATAAAGCTAGATATGTGTACAAGAATTCTAGAATGTGTCTGGCTGGGGCAGTGGAAATCCAAGCAGAGGCTGGGAGGTTGGACTAGCTTGAGGCCCTTGCAGTGCTGCTACTCTCCCCAATACGTGCCTCAATCAGTCTCACAGTCCCTTACCCCAAATAAAATACTCAAGGCATCTTAAAAATTTCTTGCAAGATTTTAAATTTGATAGTTATTTAAACAGTTATTAAGTTTTAGGCCGTTAAATTCTTGTTTGGATTTGATCTTTTAACTCAAACATCAGGAGTATGTACCTAAAGGACATACACTCCTCAACCCTGTACAATTGCTAGTGTTGGCTTTTTACAAGGAAGTGAAGAAACACACCTTTGTATCACAGTGAGTTACTATGAATCATAACGGTGGTGATCTGTGACAGATATCAGTAATTGTCCTGCATAGCTACATTATAAAGACAGACTGTAAGAAATACTTGGTATTTGTAGAACTTAAAGCACTTTTTTACAGAGTTTTGGGGGTTTTTGTTTTGGGAGATAAGGGTCTCACTGTATTGCCAAGGTTGGCCTTAAACTCCTGGGCTCAAGCAATCCTCCCACCTCAGCCTCCCGAGTGGCTACAGTTTGGTTTTAATCAATAAATATTTATTTAGCACTTGGACTGCTCTAGGCACTATAGGGTACAAAATTAGTTGTATTTTATCCTCTCAACCCAGCTGTGAGGTAGGTTTGCTAAAGCTTTAATACCACTAAGCATTTTTTCTGTACTGTTCCAAAGGACAGAAAACATTACCAAATCCCAGAAGTAGACATTTCTAAACACTTGTAGGAAAAATAAAGTTGGACTTAAAAATTTTTAGTATCTTTGCCTTTTTTTTTTACATAAGTTTTACAAGATAATACATTTTTACAATTACCTGATATGGGTACAACTTTGCAACTTGGCAAGAAGCAAATCATAACTTACATGATAATTAATTTGCTGCATCGTTTGCATCTCAGATTCTCCATTTTGGCAAGTACAACAGATTAAGGGTTCTATTGAGTGTCCCTTCCAATGAATAGGATGATCCTGAACCCATTCTTCCTCCTCAAGCAAGGCCATCCTCCTCTGATGGCAACAGCAGAACCTCTGGGAAAGGAACCTTCCAGCATTCAGAACTCCCGGGTGGCAGCCCAGTATGGGGTTTCAAGCATGATAACAAAAGCATTTTCATAACATTTATTAAAACAGTGGGATGTATCTCTAACTCTACTGATGGGGACTGTACATGAACACATTTATATTTAATTACAACAATAACATTTTAGATGTGAAATATAGAATCCTATAATAAGAACATAATTTTAAATAGCAAAGTTTAACAGTAAAGCTACTTTAGTGTTTGAATTAGAAATAAACAGTAAAACATCTGTATTAATTGTAGTATAATTGATTTGTTTCTATTTTATCTTCAGTAAACCAAAGTGAAGTTTAGCCAGGATTGTACTTTCTAAAAGTTACATATATTTAAATTTTTTTTACAAAAGAAAAAAAAGACATACTCTCCATAAAATTCCAGATCTTACTATGTAAAATAACCATGCACTAATTCGTGTTGTAATCACACAGTTTTAGACTATTGCCAGCGGATGAGTGTCATAAAGAAGGAATGGAGATGGCTTCCACAGCTTCAATGAGGTGTAAGGCTAGACTGTACTGCCCGTGTTTTTCTGGTAAAAGCTCAATTACTTTATTTACTAGTTTTGCTGTTGTTGCAATTGGCACTTCCGTGTTTTGGAGATCCTGGGGATCCTACAAACAGGACACAAAAACAACCTATTAATTACACAAAATGACACAACAGTTACTGACTAAACAGTTCTCACAGCAGTTATTTCCCAATAGAAATGCTTTTCTTCGGAACTGGGTGAATTAAACAGGTCAAATTCCCTTCACACTGGTTACTAAACAGACATTTAAGAAAACATCCAGTGACCTGTCTGACATCATCTTGTGCCTGCACTCACCATTGCTTTCAGCCAGGTGCACAGTGTGGGCGAGAGTCTGGCCAGCAACTCCATTCCTTCTTTTGTCTGCGTGCGGAGAAGCGCGTGCGCCAGCCTTTGCCCCGTCAGCACGAGCAGCTGAGAGGCAAGGACCTCTTTGTCATGGACCTGTAGAATGGCCTGAGGACAGGGACGTGGAGAAATGATATGGTCAGAGCTAACAACACATTTACTTATTCTGTAGGAGATTCTAGTTCATTTTTGGGCTGTGGCCATGGACACCACCATAGGTAAATCCAAATCGAACTTAGCTGATGAGCAGAAATTCAGGTTTAAATGCTAATTTTTCTAATCTCATCACCTTATATTTCAATAATGTGTCGTTTTCAAGCTTTTGACAAATAAAGGGAATTATATTAGATCACGTCGTGACTACCTGAAATTCTCTAATGGCTTCTGAGTACACTTAGAATAACCATGGACTCAGAAACCTATAACCTGGCCCCCACCAGCCTCCTCGCCTCCTCCTACTTCTTTTCCCCTCACTGCTTGTTTGCCCAGCCATATGCTTTTCTGGTCCTGGACCTAGTCCCACTAGTTCCTAGCTCGGGGCCTTTGTACTTATTACTTCTGTCTCAAGCACTGCTCCCAGTTTTCTGAGTGGCTGGGTGCTGCTTATCCGGAGGGGCTCAGTTCAATTGTCATTTTCTCTTGTAGTAGCTCCTGTTATTCATATGATCTTGTTTACTTTCTTCACAGTACTTGTCACTCACTATGAAACTTAGCATGCTTTTCTGCTCCTGTGAGTAGACTATCAATTCCATGAGGAAGGAACCTTGCGTGTTTTGTTTACTGCTATACCCCCAATGCACAGAGCAGGCCTGGCACCCTGTAGGAATTTACTTGATTATATTTTTATATTTCAGTATTCTATTGTTCTTTTTTTTTGTGCCTGGAAGTTCTAACAAAAGGAAGAGCAAAAAGCTTTATTGGAAACTTTACTGATTCTTTATTCCAACTATCAAGTTTATAGTTGGAGCTCAATTAACATTCACAGGGGCACTATTACCTCTTCTGCTAAGTGGTCAACTCCATAGTTGTAGAGTTCCCCCACATAATGCCGTCTGATGACATCCTCGCTGACTTGAAGGTGATGGGCCAAATCCACAGCTAGAACTGGCCAGTCTTGGTCTTTCCCGAAAGGAGTGGCCTCTTGTGAGGGATCTTTGTCCTTCCTGACTGAATGTTGTGCCTGGACAGCTGCACTGACAACTTTCAATAAGAACTTGAAAATGGAGAAGAGATAACAGCAGTGTCTTATTAGCCATGTTTCATTACAAATATCTAAATCAAAGCAATTGTTGGCTTTTCTGTTAATTACAGTGGCTTTTATGTTAAAACAGTTTATCAAAAAAGGAACACATAATTTAAAGGGAAACTAGTTCTCAAGAATACTCTGAAAGCAGTTGTCCTCTTAAAGGCCAAATAGATTTTTTGCTTTACTGTTTTTTCCAGAAACAAAGACGAAATCTAATAGCTATAATTTACCTGTTGTCGGACAGAAACAAAATTTGGATCCATTTCCCCACTAGGTAATAACTGAATTGAAGTTAGGTCTTTGAAGAATGCATTTTTTCCCTAAAGAGAAAGAGATCAAGAAAACTGATAGGTGTGGATTATTAAGTAGAGAAAAAGGGAAAGATGAAAAACACATTAAAGCCATTTAATCAGGAATAACTCAGGGTTAATTTTTATTTTCTCCTTGCACAAGATTTTAGACTTTTGTTCATTTAATTTTTATAACAATTATCTAATATGTAGAAGGCAGCCTTCAAGATGGTCCCCAATGGTCCCTTCCTAGTATTTATGTCTGTGAGGACTCCTTGCCTTGAACGCGGGCTGGCTGACTTGCTGCCAGTAAATAGAATTAGGTAGAGATGACAGCATATCACTTCTAAGATTTACTGCTGCTGCCTTGAACACTCATTCATTCTCACTCACTCTGAGGGAAACAGCTCCATGCTCTGAGCCACCCTACGGAGAGGCACATGTGGCAAAGAACTGATTTTTGCCAACAATCATGCTTGGAAGTGAATTAGTCTATCCCCAGCCCATTTGAGCCTTCAGATGAGGCCATAGCCCCAGTGAGCATCCTAACTATGGCCGCACGAGAGACTAAGCCAGAGGCGCCTACGTAAGGGGAAAACAGATTCGTGACCCACAAAAACTGTGAGTAATAAATGTTTGGTATTAGCCACTAAGTTCTGAGATAATTTGCTTTGCAGTAATAGATGTACACAGTATATACTCTGAATCCTTTTAAAAACACTTGAATTGTTTAAAAACACCTTGTTTAAGAGAATGAATGTGTGTCTGATGAGTCAAAACAGTATCAGAAAATAGGATTTCAGAAGTTCCTTGGAAGGAAACATACTACAGAGCAAAGAGCACTGGCCTTTAAGCTGGAAGACCCAGGCGCTCATCCCAGGCCCACAACTTCCAACCAGGTTGCCCTGGGTGACTCCACCAAGTTGAGCTACTCTTTCTTCTACAAACAAGTCATCCAACATATCTTCCAATACACTTTCCATAGCTAATCATTTATGAGTGTAGGTCGGCTAGTGTGACTGCCAAGTAGGCTAGAACTACTCATCCTTCAGTGATGATAAATACAAGACTTCCCAGAGCAACCTGTCATATTTTGGACATCACTTTTGAGAGATTTACTGTACACTCACCCACAATCTGTTACTTTGTAGTTCCTACTTGGTAGCCTTAGATATAAGGGTTATAATAGTACCATTTATTATTTACTGTGTTCCAAACATTGCCAATTACTTTATGTCTAATAGGTCAATTAACCCTCACAACAACCCTGCGGTAGGCAATAGAATTACCTCCATTTTCTGAATGAGAAAACTGAGACTAAAAGAAACTAACTAATTCTAGTTAGCAAATGGTAACACTGGGATTCTGTTTCACCAGCTACCAAACCACACGGCCTCTCTATGTAGTCTATGTACATGAGAGACACACAGCTGTCTGACTCCTCTCAGCATGACATGGGTTGCAACTTTACATCATAACTGTGCGGGTCCAATTCTGGATATGTCCTGGTTTCACAAAGTCCCTTTATGAGGGAAGTACTGAGCTGAACACTTAATTTTGGGGTGTGTGTGTGTGTGTGTGTGTGTGTGTGTGTATATATATATGTGTGTATATATATGTGTGTGTATATATATATGTGTGTGTATATATATAGGTATATATATAATTTTTTTTAACTTTTAAGTACCCTTTTACAGTCTTAAAGATATCATAATCCATTCAAAATCTTTACTTACAATGTAATATGGAAGATGAAAATTTGTCATCAGACTTCTCCTACCCTATCTTTCAAAAGTAAACTCTTAGAATCTAAATGTTAAATGTTGCTAATTAAAAACAAATTTCTCAAAACATTATTATTATTTCTGCTTAGTGTATACCTTCAAACTTAACATGTCTAAAATCGTTCTACATGGGCTGCCTTGTAAATGGTATACCCAGTCTCCAAAGGTTGAAATTGGATTTAACTGTAACCCCTTCCATCTCCTTGAGCACTATACCCAATCTGCCATTCAGTTACTGGCTCCTCCAAATCCCTTCATGATTTTATTACCTCCCCTGAGTCCACATCCTCACCAACTCCTACTTTCAGGGGTTCCCCACACTCTATGATGTCTTCCAGTCTCTTCTGCATACTGCTGCCATGTAACTTTTCTTTAACATCTCAACTATAAACACATTAAACATTTAGTGAGCTCCTATTATGTGCTAGGCATGGCACATGGACATGGGACGCAGTAAGGAGGTGATAAGTTCAGGGAATGTAGACTTTCAAGAGAAGATGACACTTAAGTAATAACCTGAAATATAAAAAGGAGTTTGCTGGCCGGGCGCTGTGGCTCACGCCTGTAATCCTAGCTCTTGGGAGGCCGAGGCGGGCGGATTGCTCAAGGTCAGGAGTTCAAAACCAGCCTGAGCAAGAGTGAGACCCCGTCTCTACTATAAATACAAAGAAATTAATTGGCCAACTGATATATATATAAAAAATTAGCCGGGCATGGTGGCGCATGCCTGTAGTCCCAGCTACCCGGGAGGCTGAGGCAGAAGGATCACTCGAGCCCAGGAGTTTGAGGTTGCTGTGAGCTAGGCTGACGCCACGGCACTCACTCTAGCCTGGGCAACAAAGTGAGACTCTGTCTCAAAAAAAAAAAAAAAAAAAAGGAGTTTGCTGTACAAAATTGCTGCCTGTAAAAATGGAATATCACAAATGAAGACAAGAGGTAATGAAATGATTTCCCTGAGAATGGAGGGTTAACAGCAGTAGCAGCCAGGGTGAAGGAGAGGAACACTGATGAAATAGGAAAGGTGAGTAATGGCCATGGGAAGCCTCCTGGTTCCATGTTTTAGGGGTTCTATCAGGATAATATTCCCAGGTCTCCTGCTTCACCCCACACTCACTCCTCCCCAAGATGGACTGGTGAATTTAGGAGAAGGAGCTGAACATTCAACAGCTCCTGGCTTTCCCTCTTTAGGGAGGCGGGCTTGCCACAGGGAGAGCACATTCTCTGCTCCTACAGGGCAGGGACTTCAGGGGCAGCCTTCAGGGGCCCCAGCTGTGCCTGTCTTGGGTGCTTAAGTCTCTCACATGAGGGGGAAATAATAAACCCACTTTTTCCCACCAGGTGTTCTCCAATCTAGCTTCTAGCAGTGAGGCACTAAGTAATAAAGTTGGCATTTTTCTCTCCAATGGTCTGAGTCTCTCTCTGTCTCTCATTTGACACTTGCATGGGGAAGGAAAGGGTTTTACTAACCACAGCAGCCAAACTGTAAAGGTCTCTTACATATTCTACTAACAAGTTTGGACTGGATCATGCAGGGGAGCCAAAGTCTCAGGCATGAACTAACAGGATTAGACCTCTGTGTTGGGAAGACAGCCCTCACAGCATGGCATTAGAGAGAGAAACTGGAGGCAGGGTGATGAGGAAGGGCCAGCTGTCAGCTGAGGGAAAGATGATGAGGCCTGAACCAGGGCTACCACGCTGGAGAGGAACAGACAGATATGATGTGAGGAGATTTACAAGAATGAATTTACAATGAAGTAAATTAGCTAGAAGTAGAAAATTAACCAGAACACTTCAAGGTTTCTAGTTTTTGCCAGTGCAGAAATGATGACATCATTAATAAAATAACCAAGCCAGGGAATTCAGGAGAACAGCAGATTTGGGTCAGGGTCAGGATGGGGGTGAGGGATTGCAGATAATTTTAGATACGAATTGTTTGAAGTCCCATAGGACGTTCAGAGAGAGACATTCAATAGTAATATATGCCCCAAACTCTGGGGATAAGTCAGAGAGAGAAGTTAGAGATATATTATAAGAAGGAAAAATACGTGTATCCAGCAAGAACATGGAGAATGAGAAAGGCAGACATGATAGAGCAAAACTCCATGGGACACCAATACAGAGAGTAAATCAGAAGAATGGAATCAAACAGTCAATAAAAGAGTTGGAACCTCACAGTGAATTATTCTACACAAGTCACAAAAGTACTGAACAACTTCTGTTAAGTAAGAAAATCCATGTGTCTGCTAAACCTGCCGCTTTAGAATAGCTCTGAAATCCTTTGAGGTACTTACCTTACTGTCAAAAAGTGAAAGTGGCTTCACAGACTTCAGGGAAAACCTCATGACTGCGTACAAGATGGAGCACAGGATGGAATGGTGCTCCACCAGCGGGTAGTGGATGTGTTTCTGTTCCAGGGCCAGTTCCACTATTGAGATCGGTCCTTCCACAGAGAGCCAAGCGTCCTCAGTGTCCAGGACAGGCAGCTGCATTTCATCCCTGCTAACATCTGCCTACGGGTTTTGAGAATAGAGGACTGTGTTCAGAATTGGAAAACTAATAGCTCACAAATATCCTTATCAGTCTATTACCAGCAAGGTGCAAACCCATACTCCACACCCCCTAATATTGTAATAAAAAAATCCAAATTTTAATAACAATTTAATAAGAAAACATCACTAGTATTTAGGCTTAAGTCAAAAGTCAGAAATGAATACATGAAAAATAATCTCATTAAAATAGTCCTAAGTCCACTGATTTTCAGAATAGTATCTTAGGAGCAGTTCAGAATAATAATACACTTCCTTTACCTCCATTAGAGTCTGAAGAAGATCCAAGCAGGAGCCAAGGAAAGATGTCATTGCTGTGTCACTCATTCCCACATCCTGTTTTTAAAAAGTAAAACAATTAGGCCCTGCAACAAAACTGCTATAGTTACTATCACAAAAACAAAAAATAGAATACAACACACCTGTTTAACTGACTTTCTGCACTAAATAGGCCAGAATTTGAAAGTCAAGGCATTAGCACGTTTAAGTTCCTTCTTTTAGATTCTTTAGTTGACTCTAATTTTAAAGTTAGGCTTTAAAAAGGAGTACTACTATCAACTTTTAAAAATTAACTTTCCTTATGTATTGTAAAGATGCATTCTCATCAGTTACCACACATGGCGGCACTCCTGTGCTCATTGTTTAGTTTGCATTTGATAGCCCAATAATCATGGTACATGGAAGATGTACACAGTTGGAGTCCAACTAGAAAAGTTCTAAGAAAAAAGCCTGGTTTCAGAGCGCCTTTTAAGGACTGAACTGAACCTTCAGAACAAAACTAGAATCCCAAGGTTGAGAACTAAATACCACATTCATGCTGTGGGCAACAGAAGGTTCCCATTGACTCCTTATAGGGCTTGTCCAGGGGGTCACTGCAATTGTGTGAATCTTCTTGAAACTAACAAACAATACATTCCTCACAGCCTCAAAGTAAGTAAATGAGAGCGTGTGGGCACATATATAACTAGTCATACAACCACTCTTAAGAACACACCAGGCCAGGCGCAATGGCTCACGCTTATAATCCTAGCACTCTGGGAGACTGAGGCAGGAGGATCGTTTGAGCTCAGGAGTTCAAGACCAGCCTGAGCAAGAGTGAGACCCATTCTCTACTAAAAAAAAATAGAAATTAGCTGGACAACTAAAAATATATATAGAAAAATTTAGCTGGGTATGGTGGCCTGTAGTCCTAGCTACTCAGGAGGCTGAGGCAGAAGGACTGCTTGAACCCAGGAGTTTGAGGTTGCTGTGAGCTAGGCTGACGCCATAGCACTGTAGCCCGGGTAACAGAGTGAGATTCTGTCTCAAAACATAATTCTCCAACAATGGTGATTTTTTTGGAACTGAAGGCCTGTAACAGCTGGATTCATGTGTCCCAATTATTTCTTAAAGATATTTGTAGTACAAACATTTCAAATTTCTAAGCAAAAGCTACTAGCACTATTAATCACTGGCCCCAAATAAAAACCCAGTATCTGTGGATTGGAATATTATTTAAGACTATAATGTTGCATCTATACAATGGTTATTACATATAGGTAAACCAAATTCACTATTCATATGAAACTACTTCAATATGATGTTAGATGCTTCTATTATAAACTTCTAATCTTAAGTAGAGAAAAAATATGCAGCAAAGGTAGTATGTTATGCTCCTGTCCACAGTCCAAAGTTGAACACATCTTACGAAAACTCACTCAGCTTAAACATGCTGACAATCTGGAAAGCTAAATTAAAATTGGCCATAGTTCATGATCAGTTTCCTTAATATAGGTATTCTCTTTTCATTTTTCTTATCTCCAGATATGTCATCAAATTGGTAAAAAGCAAAGTTCACCCCTATAGTTAATAAGGTACTATATAAAGTGTAGGATTAACAACTGTAATGATATAATAATTATCAGAGATCACTTACCCTTCGGCATAGCCTATCCTTTGGTGCTTTTCCAACCTAAGATAAAAAGACACAAAATGCTGTAATACTTAATAATTTAAATCAATAGGCATTCTTATGGGATATTAAAAAGTAACCAAATTTAAAAACTATATATGCAGCTATAAATAAATGTAACAACCTTTCGTTAGTTACCGTGGCTTCTACCAACAGTAGAAGCAATTAATTTTGTGAGGGAACTTAAATATATGACCCTGGGTGCACAAATAATCCTTTTCAAACATAAATTATATATCTTTGAACTTTTAATAAGAAAAAGCTACAAAAAATCCAGTCCGTACTTTGTGCAAATAACTATGTTGCCTCAAAACCCAGAGCCAAACTTGAAGCTACTAATAAATAGGCCTCGGAATTTTGTCAGTTGATAAAGACATACAATAGTTTGAAGTGGTCAGAAAGAAGGAAAAACATTCTAATGCAGACAGGAGTGCTATTCCTAGCTGAGAAAGATTTTCTTGATTCAGTAAGTATGTACTAAGATTCTACTGGCTATGTCTACAGGGAAGTAAGTGGGAGGAGAAAGTTCTGTCCTCAGGAACGTTACTTGATAGGACGAGACATTCACAGGGGACACTGGAGAAGGGACTCCAGTATAAAAGACTCTTCACCTCACTACCTCCCACTGAGATTACTACAATGGCCTTTGAACAACCAGGCTCAACTCACTCCAATTCCGAGATATTTCATCTGTTGCCATAATTCATATAATTATTCTGCTTTGAAGTTCCCCAATGTCTTCTATGTAAAATAACAGCTACCATTTACTGAGTCCGTACCGTGTGTGCCAGACCCTATGCTAAACAGTTTATGTACACTGTTAGAAAATCCCAAATCCACTACCTGCACAGAAAATTCTTCACCTCAGCTTCTCTTTTCTTCTTATGTTCCAGCTATACTAAGCTGCTGTTCTCTGAATCCAACAAACTGACTCATGTCTCCAGGTCTTTTTGCTGGAATATGGTCTCTTTTCACCCACTTTTTACTGGTTCATACATACTTATCTTCCCAGAATTCAAGTTAGAAGCCTTCCCCTTGTCTGGTTACTTACTTCTCTTCTAAGCTCTAAAAATTCCCTATTATCTATTATCTGTCTTTTTTTTTTTTTTTTGAGACAGAGTCTCACTTTGTTGCCCAGGCTAGAGTGAGTGCCGTGGCGTCAGCCTAGCTCACAGCAACCTCAAACTCCTGGGCTCAAGCGATCCTACTGCCTGAGCCTCCCGAGTAGCTGGGACTACAGGCATGCGCCAGCATGCCCGGCTAATTTTTTCTATATATATTAGTTGGCCAATTAATTTCTTTCTATTTATAGTAGAGACAGGGTCTCGCTCTTGCTCAGGCTGGGTTTCAAACTCCTGATCTTGAGCGGATCCACCCGTCTCGGCCTCCCAGAGAGCTAGGATTACAGGCGTGAGCTACCGCGCCCGGCCTCTATTACTTGTCTTTTAGACTATGTTCTTTGAGGGCCAGGAGTGTGACTTTCATCTGTTCAACCACAGAACCTAGCACAGTCATGGCACATGAAAGATAACACATTATAATAATAAGTATTTACTGAATAATCATAATTCTGTTTCCTAGTTCAGGACTATTTTCACCCAAATCAAAGTTGTAAGAATCAAATGTTACCATGGATATGAGAATGCTGTGAAGTTGTAAATAGTAACACACATATGAATTACTTTTTATTACTATTCTCTTAAAAGAGAGGTGGCCATTGCTTGAGCTTAGGAGTTTGAGATCAGCCTGAGCAAGAGCAAGATCCCATCTCTACTAAAAATAGAAAATATTAGCCAGGCGTGGTGGCACACCCCCATAGTCCCAGCTACTCAGGAGGCTACAGTAGGAGTTTAAGGCTGCAGTGGCCGGCGCGATGGCTCACGCCTGTAATCCTAGCTCTCTGGGAGGCCGAGGTGGGCGGATTGCTCAAGGTCAGGAGTTCAAAACCAGCCTGAGCAAGAGCAAGACCCCATCTCTACTATAAATAGAAAGAAATTAATTGGCCAACTAATATATATAGAAAAAATTAGCCGGGCATGGTGGTGCATGCCTGTAGTCCCAGCTACTCGGGAGGCTGAGGCAGCAGAATTGCTTGAGCCCAGGAGTTTGAGGTTGCTGTGAGCTAGGCTGACGCCATGGCACTCATTCTAGCCTGGGCAACACAGTGAGACTCTGTCTCAAAAAAAAAAAAAGGCTGCAGTGAGCTATGATGATATCACTGTACTCCAGCCTGAGCAAGACCATCTCATCTCTAAAAATAAAAATAAAAAAATAAAAATAGTCTAACAGGGCCCAACATAAACAATTTTTCTAGTATTAGTCAATGAATTAAAGGAACCAAAGAAACAAGTCAGTATATGAAATTTAATATTACTTTACCTTATCCATTAAGTATGTAGCAGCAGAAAAACGTTTAACTAAGAACGTATTCCACATCATCAACGCAATGCCTAGATAACAAGTAGTAAATAGAGTGTTTATATACTCTCACTTTCATCATACATAACAAATTACTGTCATCCTTAAGCTTATTAAACTATTTCTTGAGATATCATTTCTCTTATCTAATATGAATAGAGTTAATGAAATCTTTATCTGTAATAAAAGTCAGAACTGGGCTGCATAAGTATATCCAAATGGCCAATTAGCACAAGAAAAGAGTCACATCATTAGTTAAGAGAGAGATACAAAATCATAATGAGCTAGCATTAAACCACCATCAGAAAAGCTAAAAAATTGTTTTAAAGGACAATATCAAGTGTTGGCAAGAATGTGGAACAAATGGAACACTCACACATTGCTGGTGGGATAATAAATTGGTAAAATCATTTGGAAAACCAGCAGTATCTACTAAAGCTAAATATATGTCTACCCTATCACCTAGTAATTCTGCTGCTGAGTATACACCCAAGAGAAATGAATACAAAAGATATGTACAAAATTATTGAGAACAGCTTTATTCATAATAAGCAAACACCAGAAAAAATCCCAATATCCATCAATTGATTTTTTCATATGTAACCACCAACTAAAGTAATAAAGTAATATATATATTATTATTATTAATATATATATATATTATTAAAATACAAAACAAGGTCAGGCGTGGTGGCTCATGCCTGTAATCTTGGCACTCTGGGTGGCCAAGGTGGGAGGACTGCTTGAGGTCAGGAGTTTGAGACCAGCCTGAGCAAGAGTGAGATGCTGTCTCTACAAAAAAATAGAAAAATTAGCTGGGTGTGGTAGCACATGCTTGTTATTCCCAGCTACTCAGGAGGCTGAGGCAGGAGGATGGCTTGAGCCCAGGAGTTTGAAGTTGTATGTAGTGAGCTATGATGACGCCACTGCACTCTAGCCAGGGAAACAGAGTGAAAAACTCTGTCTCAAAAAGAAAAAGTAAAATAAAATAAAATAAAAATAAATAAATAATAGACATTTTTTTTAAAAACCAGCCAAACAAAAAATCTGGGCTTTATAATTCCATATTCAGTAAGCTGTGGCATTAAAATTAAATTTCCAAAGCAGCAATTAGGCAGTGCAACCATGGCATTTCACATACTGTTACTGCTACCCGTGCAGCTGAGTCTGTATTTAGGAGTGAGGCCCTTTGTAGGCTGTGAAGCAGCCAGGATGCTGACTCAGTGTGTACAGGTACAAATGAGCAAAGGCCTAACTTGAAGAAATACTAACTAGCCTGAAGTCAGGAAGTAACTTCATTTTGTCAATAGGGATAGAATAGTCTAGAGACCATACTGTCCAAATGAGTCACTGCAAATCTTTTTTTTTTCTTGGATAAAGGTAAGATCTAAGAGAGGAATGAATAATTTTCAAGTTCCCCTAACATAAATTGGGACATTTTACAATTTCTGCAATTTGACTTCATATCGCCTATAAGAATATGATGCAGGTGAAAAAGAAATAAGTAGAATTCTCTAGAATTTATCACACAGACATCAGGTGACACCTCATCTTACCCAGCCCAACACCTAGTCTCCTCATTTCCTAAGGTTACAAACTAGCTTAGTGTTGCTCTCCTCAATTAATTCTCATAACAAAATCCATCTATCAAATAGAATCTGTTTATAAGTTCTCTACAATAATTTGTAACATTTTTTTCAAGGAGACATCAGCAATCCCCAAGGTCTCACAGCTAATGGAGAATATTCACATTAATTAAAAGAAACACAAGATAGTTTCTAAGGTCTAGTCTTATTAGGCTTTTTGCTACCAAGCCTTTTCACCAAGAATTATAGTTCTTGACAACTGCATCCCTCTTTCCTTCTTTACCTGTGAACTAAAGAGGGAATCAATGATTCATGCATAATAGCTTCCTTAATTATACCAACAAAGGAATAGTCAGCTTGGGGAACAGAAGGGAAAATTACCACCAGCTCACTTGCCCCTTTCTAGATAGCATTTTCCCAAGTAGTTAAAACAGCCAGTTCTTTGCATATAGCAAAACACATTAATATGTTAGCTTGTAGGACACTCAAATAAAAATTTAATAGGATGTGAATCTTTAGATTAAATCAGGATGACTTTTTAAAATCAGTGATGTTTTTAACATCTGTTTACTTACCATTCTGAATATGTGCATTAAGAATATGCTTCAAATGTTCTATTGACCTAACAAAAAAACGTGCTTCCTTACATGCAGGGAGAAAAAAGAAAACAAAAAGAGGTATCATTTAATAGGTGTATCTAATACCAATATAGACTTCTTACATAAATTTCTGCATAAACCTACCTAAGAATGTTGTAATAAGAACATGGAATTATTAGGTAAGATGTAACTTTTGATAAGATACCTTTACTTGACCCTCTTAAATTCATATGACCTATATAATGATTAATCCCTAGAAACTCTCAGGTATAGTCATAAAGGCAAATATCTGGATTCAAATTTGCTATGGTTTGTACATAATAATAATATTCTCTCTAATAAATACTTGAATTTCATATAAATGTGAAAACAATGAGTTTGCTTTTGCAAATACAATTCATTCATTCATCATTCAACAAATTTATTGAGCATCTACTATGTGCCAAGCAAGCCCTGCTTGAGCTTACATTCTAGTGGAGCTAAACAATAAATATGATAAGTAATTAGATTACATGTTAGTGATAAGTGCCAAGGGAAAAAAATTAAAAGCAGGAAGTAAATATGAAATATCAGAGGGGATGTTTGGAAGTCAACTCTTTCTAATCAAGGAAGTTAAATTATACAGATCTTGGCTAAATAATTCTGTAGCCTGTACATAGATTAAACATATCACCGCTGACAAAACATACTGTATTGAAAATTCCCCAAAGGTAATTTTAACTGTTTTGAGTGTTATAAAATTGTGTGTGTGAAAGTGGAATTAGAATAGGGGTTGGATGAGGCATGATGAATATTTAATAGGAAAAACAAACATTAAAAAAACAAGAAAAAGTGATTTATTTTAAATGTAGGCAATTCTAATAACACCAATGACAACACTAATCCAAAGTCTGGTACTCTGCATGCACTTTCTTTATAAACTGTAATAACTTTTTGAGATGACTGCTGTCATAGCCCTCATTTTTGGTGCAAATTGATATGAAAAGTTCAGAAACGTTCCCAAAAGTCACACTTAGCTGTAAGTAGCAGCAATGGGGCTTGACGTCAGCTTTGTCTCAGCCCACCATGCAAGCTGCCTCTGGTTTATAAAATAATGCTGTAAAGCAGAAGTTTTTCCAAAATATCACGTTTTTAGATTTGAATCTAGAATTAATTCATTCAGACTTCAGAAATTATTATGTCCTTGTTCTAGTCCTAACATTCCGTTTGTCATGAAATGGAAAAATAACCCATTTAAGTAGAGAGCCTAAATATGATTATTTGATCCTGGCACCTTCATTACAAAAATTGGGGGGTAAGGGGAGATTAAAAAAAATAGGCCAGAGCTTCAGTGACTCGCCTGAGCCAGACACTGGTGAGCAATTCATCTGGGATCCACATCCAGCTCTCCTGCGCCTCCAGGCCTGAGGCCTTCCCTCATGCTGCTTCTAGACTGTGAATGCCCTGGGAGAGACAGGGCTACCAAAAGGGATGCAAAATAATGCCTGAGCAGAGTTGAGAGGGCAACAAGGCTAACCCTGGACTAAAGTCAACCCTGTACACAGTGTGCCTTTTTTGATTGTTCTTCTGAGGCAAATATAAGCAATATAACAAAGATATATCTGAATCATCAGACCACTATCAGGTTGACACCTGGACCTTCACTCTGACTTTTATCATGACTCTAATATTAAGAATATTCTGCCAGGTCGGTGCCATTTCATGCAGGGATTCAGCAGGAAATAAAAAATATATTTGTCACAATCTAATTAGGAATAGGGCAAACAAAACATACTGGTTTTAGATAAGAGGAACCTATGCTTACATCCTGACACGTACTGAGAAGTGGGTCCTTAGGGAAGGAACTTTAACCTCTCTGAGCCCTAGTTTTCTCTTCTTTAGAGTGTGAATAATAATACCTATACTTCATAGGTTTATTGTGAAGATTCTGAGGTAATATATGCAAAAGACTTAGCACAGTTAATAGTACAGAGATATTACAACAAGAAAAAAGCCAGTATTTATAAGCTATTTAATTAAACAGTACTCATGTAAGAACAGTATGAACACTAAAGTAGAATTAACACAAAAGAGGTAACAATCTTACCTCTGGATCTTTATTCCATTGAACAACATACTCCCAGCAGCAATGTGCGTGTAGCACGTCTAGCTCAAGGCTACAAGGAAACTGCTCATAGGCTAAATGCAGCAAGTCTGAAAGTCAGAAGAGAGTGGTGATGTTATTTTTGCCTTGGTGAAAACTCAGCCACATCTCTCCACTCTGGATTTCACATTTCTCATTACTTGTGTATCACCTGGTATGGCTCCTAAGTCCATCTCCACCTCTGATACCTCAAGGAAACCTCTGTTAATACCTTCTTTGGGTTCATCTGGGTTTTCAACATCTCTTTGTTTATTAGCCAGTTTTAATATTTCAGGGCTGAAGTCTTGTTTAAATATCCACTTGGCTACACTGTCTGCAATGCCACCTACAGTTTGGAGACAAGAAAGGAAATGAAAATTTACAACTGTGCATGGCAGTATTTGCCAATGGGAGCCAATACAGTGCATGATCAACATTTCCTTATGAAGAGATTGAAGTGGCACATTCATTTCTGAGCCTGAAAGTGACCCCCAAAAGCCATGAGATTTAAGCTGTGTTACTACTTACCACTCAACTTGTGGGATATCTGCTATCACAGGGGATCTTTATGCTTTCAGAAAATATTGGATTAATATAAATGCACCTGCATACATGTCTGTAAATCTCATACTTTCTTTTTTTTAAATATTTTTTTCTTAAAGAAAAGTTAAATACACTTTTTTTTCTTTTTTTGTTACAGCATTTTAAGTAGGAAAAATCACATACTTTCTATGTCCACAAATTCAAAACATATCTTACCAGACACAGACAAAAGAATGAACACATCTTTAAAACGCTATCATTTAAATTAGAAGACATTCGCCTAGGCACCTGAGGGCAATGTTATATTACTTTTAATAGTCAACTAAATGAAATATTTACGGGCAAAATTTAGCCATAGCTAATCAACATGATATTATACCAACTTTCAGTCATCAATGTAGTGCAAAAAATGGTAAATGCATGTTGGAAAACATTCAAGATGTCTAAAGAGTCCTATTTATTACCTAAGACAAATTATACATTCTTCTGTGATTTACCAAAAGTATTTCTCTTAATCTTTCCTCCTACTTTGATTCAAATCAAAACCCTTCCACAAAAAGAATGGAAACTCACAATTATTAGTAAAAATAAATGGGAGCAGTGTGCTGGGTGAGCCAATTTCTTATGTTTGGCTTCTAAATCATTTGATACTTCTCATTCCAGTACTAACCCCCTGATTACATTGCTTAGGTTAATATTCAAAGAGTGTGTACACTTTTACTCTTTGGCACCATCTAGTGTAGTGAGTTTACAATTAAAAACTTGCCACAAGTCTTATAAAGAATGAGAAAATGAGTTAAATCACTAAAAATCTATAAATACCTGGATATTTATAAACCTGGACATACAGTCATTCTAGTATCAAATGCCTAACAGAGCTACTGATAAGAGTAAGCACCCCAAAATAACTCAAAACACAAGGTGCTTACATCCTTGCAAGACATAAGTACATGAATTCAAATGACTCCAGGACAGTAGAAAGTGATACATCAGCAAAGAGGAATAAAGTTTTGTGGGTATTAGGAAGAAGAAGGGGAAATCTGTAGTTAGTGGATCATGAAAGGGTTCTCAGAGGAGGTAGTATTTGAGCTGCCCCTTGAAAGATGAGTAACATTTAGTGATCCATGAGTGGGAGAGGCAGGGAAATGGAAGAGGACAGGCTCAGATCCAAAGATGGAAGTCACAGAGATGCTTCATTTTAACTAAAATCTAGGAAGCAAGCAAGAAAGAAATGGAAAAATAAATTAGATTCAAACTCAAAAGTGCTTAAAGGGCAAGCTTAAGAGTTTACACTTTGATCAGTTCTCAAATGTATTAGTCTCATGATCCCCTTAAATTCTTTTCAAATTTTAAATTATTATTAATACATAATAGTTGTATATATTTATGAGGTACATGTGATGTTTTGATAAAGGCATATATTTAAGAACATTCCAATTCCACTCTTTTAGTTCATTTTAAATATATACTAAATTATTAACTATAGTCCTATTGTGATACTGACACTAAATTTTATTCTTTCCAACTGTATTTTTGTACCCATGAAGCACTCCCTCCTTATCTCCCTCTCCCACTATCCTACTCAACCTCTGGTAACCATCATTCCATTCTCTTATCTCCATGAGTTCTATTTTTTCATTAGTTCCCACATATGGGTGAGAACATATGATATTTGTCTTTCTGTGCCTGGCTTATTTCACTTAACATAATGTTCTCCAGTTCTATCCATGTTTTTGCAAATGACAGGATTTCATCCTTTTTCTGGCTGAATAATATTTCATTGTGTATATATACCACATTTTCTTTTTCCTTCATTTGTTAATAAACACTTAGGTTGATTCCATGCTTCATTACTATGAGTAGTGCTGCAATAAACACAGAAGTACAGATCTCTCTTCGATACTCTGATTTCCTTTCTTTTGTATATATATCAGCAGTGGGATTGCTGGATCACATGGTAGTTCCAATTTTAGTTTTCTGAGGAACTTTCACATTGTTGTCCATAGCGGCCATACTAGTTTACATTCCCACCAACAGTGTGCAAGGGGGTTCTCCTTTCTCTACATCCTCACCAGCAATCATTATTGCCATTTTGATAACAGCCATTTTAACTGGGATTAAAATGTCTCAGTTAATTTTCTGTAAGTCTGATTCAGTCAATTCCATGCTCAGGAACCCCTAGGTATTTCCCACTGTGTAACAAAATAAGCAGTGGTTCTCAAAGAGTGGTTAGAGGACCTCAAGAGTCCTCCTTTTTTCACCTACATGTCTGTATAAGGCCAGATTTGCCTTGTATACTTCAACCAAAACAACAAAACAATAGATTGAATGCCAAAGCTGGTTGGAGAATCCAGACATAAGTGCTACACATTAAATAGATTTATAAAAGTGTAAAGTAGTGCCACATTTCTCAGCAAATTTCTATTTTTGCTTTGGGAAATATAGTTTTTCCATAAAATATTAGCATTTAATAAGTTTATTTCATTTTTAGATGAACTAATAAAAATATTTTTTAAATGTCTCTTTTAATTTCTAATACCATAAAAATGAACAGATGTAACCCATAAGCCAAAGTTCTTCGGGGTCATCAATAACTTTTAAGAATTTAGAAGTTGGCCGGGCGCTGTGGCTCACGCCTGTAATCCTAGCTCTTGGGAGGCCGAGGCGGGCGGATTGCTCAAGGTCAGGAGTTCAAAACCAGCCTGAGCAGGAGCGAAGAGCAGCCCGTCTCTACTAGTAATAGAAAGAAATTAATTGCCAACTGATATATATAAAAATTAGCGGCATGGTGGCGCATGCCTCAGTCCCAGCTACCCGGGAGGCTGAGGCAGAAGGATCACTCGAGCCCAGGAGTTTGAGGTTGCTGTGAGCTAGACTGACGCCACGGCACTCACTCTAGCCTGGGCAACAAAGCGAGACTCTGTCTCAAAAAAAAAAAAAAAAAAAGAATTTAGAAGTTTACCTCTCTCTCACCATATACAACAAAAATCAAATCAAAATGGATTAAAGACTTAAGTCTGACACCTGAAACTGTGAAACTGCTAGAAGAAAACATTGGGGAAACACTCGAGGATCCAGGTGAATATTTCTTGAGTAAGATCTTTTTTTTTTTTTTTTTAACCACTAGACCACCAGGGATCTTGAGTAAGATCTTAAAAACACTGTCAATCAAAGCAAAAATGAACAAATGTGATCACATCAAGCTAAAAGGCTTCTACACAGCAAAGGAAACAACGAAGTGAAGAGACAACCCTGAAATGAGAGAAAATATTTGCAAACTACCCATCTGAAAAAGGAATTGATACACAGAATATATAAGGAGCTCAAACAACTCAATAGGAAAGAAATCAAATAATCTGATTTTTAAATAGACATAAGATCCAAACAGACATTTCTCAAAAGACGACCTATAAATGGCTAATAGGTATATGAGAAAATGCTCAACATACTAATCCATCAGAGAAATGCAAATCAAAATTATATATTTCTTTCATTATAGTTTTTGTTATACAGTGGGAAGTACCTGGGGGTTCTGAGCATGGAATTGACTGAATCAGACTTACAGAAAATTAACTGAGACATATATAGAGGGCTGTTATTATTTTAATAACAGTATATTTTTCTTTCCTTATTCTTTAGTTATTTCTATTTAAAAAAAATTCATAACAAAAATATGGATGCAAATGCTCAAATGAACTTCGGCTTACCTTTTCCTCCTTCTAATAACTTTTTAACAGAAAGCCTTGGAAGTGGCTCAGCCTGTAGTGACGACACTTTGGAGGTTCGAGTATTCCCTTTGCTGTGAAGCAGAGTCTGAAGTATGAGACAATCCTCCAGTTGTTTCAGCAGGAGTTTCCAGTATTCAGTGTCAAGAGAAAGGGCTTCCCACGAATCAGTGAGGGCCTCTGACTCAGCACCCAAAACTGTTTGGGAAAACTAACAGAAAATGTACTGGTGATTCTCTGGCAAAGATTTTGAATCAGCATTAACCTGAATGACCTTTTAATTTGAAAGCTGATGAAAAGTCAGGATATATTACAAGGCAACACATCAATGCTGTTTCACAAATATTATTACTTGACTGGAAGAAACATGAGGGTCAGGAGTAGACTAGAGATCCAAGGGCAAGGATGATGAGTTTGAACATTTATAAGGAGTCCTGCACTAATGACCCCGATTCAACCAGTGTATACCTCAAAAAATTTTCTGGGCCATCCATGGCAAAGGCCACAGTTTTTTTCTGTCAGTACCAATCAGGATACTGACCATTTCGTCAGAATGTACTCAACAACTTAAAAAAACGTTATCTGAAATTTCATCTCTTTCCATCATTATAAACATTTCAAGTTGGCAATATCAAATTTAGTGTATGAACAATTGTGACTGACAATGTCAAGAAACTCTCCACAGAACTAATTAGGTATCTCATCCAAACTAATGTAACATCCCTGTAGAAAAATTTATTTCATCCACCACAAGATACAAGGGAAATTTGAGTTCTCAACAGATTAGGAAAAACGCAAAGCAAAAGGTCAGTAGAAAACTTATATTTTATTCATTCAGTGCCAGGTTTATAAGGAGGCGAGGGGTAAAGACAATCATAGAACTTCAGAATGAGAATAAACCTGATAAATGACACAGTCTAACTCTGACTTCTTTTAGATGAGAAAAATGAAGCCAAGAGACTCCTTTTAAAGGGACTCACCACATATCACCAGCTATTGGCAGAAGGCCATTAGCACTTTTTTTTTTTTTTGAGACAGAGTCTCACTTTGTTGCCTAGGCTAGAGTGAGTGCCGTGGCGTCAGCCTAGCTCACAGCAACCTCAGACTCCTGGGCTCAAGCGATCCTTCTGTCTCAGCCTCCTAAGTAGCTGGGACTACAGGCATGCGCCACCATGCCCGGCTAATTTTTTTCCTATATATATTAGTTGGCCAATTAGTTTCTTTCTATTTATAGTAGAGACGGGGTCTCGCTCTTGCTCAGGCTGGTTTTGAACTCCCGACCTCGAGCAATCCGCCCGCCTCGGCCTCCCAGAGAGCTAGGATTACAGGCGTGAGCCACCGCGCCCGGCCCATTAGCACTTTTGCCCTTTGCCATGTAGCAACTGCTACCAACTCAAGTATGCACAGCATCTGAATAAACAAATGAAGGGGTCCCTCCCACCCCAAACAAATAAGAACCTTCTGGACATACGTTTCAAAGTCTAGATGTTCTGTAACACTGAAAACAATGTACCCCAAGAAAAGGAAAATCGTCCCTTCAGCTGACTGCCTGGGTACAGATCAAAGTTGCACCTTTGCCCACTTACCTTTTTCTCTGTCATGTTGTTCGATATCTGTGCAGCAACAGAATGCCCAACATGTGCAGACAATAGGGCAGCGCCATTGTTCTCAGACTGAATACAGGCCGTGCGCATCTGCTGCCACCAAGGGGACACAGACTGGGAGTCCCAGGTCTCATCGATGGCCACTATAGGGATAGGGAGAAAACTGAAAAATAAACTCTTACACTGTCATTTTTTCTGGTCTAATCTTTCACATTAAACATAATGTTAAAATTAAATTTCACCCTGATGTGTTTGTGTATTTTTCAATGAAGTGGAAAATAAATCTATAGTCTGTTTTAGTGAGAACATTTATATTCTATGTATTTGTGTTATTTTAGTCATCTAGCTGAATCAATATTAAATCCTTCTTGAAATAGTTTCATCATTATTGAAAACTACTATTGAATATATGAATATAATAGGTTAATATTTTGATAATCATACCAAAGACAAGAAAAACATTACTTCCACCAAAGACCATTCAACTTACCTTACCAAGTCAAGAAAATAAATGTACTGTTCATGTTATTTTCTATGACACAAAATATAAATTTAGTTTCCATAAATTAAAGCATACTTCAAATGTATTCACAACTATTAATACATAATAAAATCTCTATGTAAAAGGTTTTGTACACTATAGATTCCTTTTGTTAAGAGAAACTATCCTCCTTCCCAGTTTTTGTGGTATTTCAAACACTAGAACTTTGTTTCCAAGAGCAATAGTTGAAATCCTGAGGAGCTGCATTTTCATAGGTACCAGCATCCTACCTTTCATCTTGCTCAAGAGGGACAGCATTGTATGAAGACAGCAGACAGACTGTGGTTTATCCAAAATATCTTTTTCCTTAGAAAGCCAAACACTCAGGAGCAGAGACTGAAATCAAATTTAAATCTTTTTCAGTCTAAAAATATTTAACATAGACACAAAATGTAGCACTTTTCTAGACAGTAAGTGTGTACATATTGATGATACAGCTTTTTGAGTTGTTGCATCATGTTAACATGAGGTGCAGAACAACGTACCTTGTCTACGTAAAAGATTCTTTATTACCTGTTGGATATCTAAATTGCACCATTTCCATCTCTTCTTTGGGTTAACCACTGCCTTCCAATTCAAACCTCTATTTAGGAGCATATTAAAACAACGGACATTACTATGTGAGCTTGAGTTTGCTGAAAATAAGCAAGGTGCCACTCCACTCTCTTTTGATTGGGGTGGGTGGTGGGAGAATCTGGAGCTATTGGTCTTCCCCTTGCTTGGCTGTACAAAAGGACCGCAGACTTGGCAGTGGGGGATAATTACCTAAAACTACCAAATTCCAGTTTTTAATCACTACCGAGTTATAAATAACAGATTTTAAACAACATTTAAGTCAACAAAAGTGACTTTTAAGATGCCTATGAACCAGCAAATCTACTTAAATTTGAAACATTTTTAAGATTTATAAAATGGTTCACAGATAATTCTGCCATAATGAAGTTTAATGGAATTGTGGCACATCTATTAATATAAATGGTATCTGTGAAAGGCCTTAACGTCTTATAATACTGTAGTACCTTTATGTGAAAAATAGCTCTAAAATATTAATAAAAAGCTGACTTGTCAGTTTAAATGTATTAGTTCAAATAATTTTCAAAAATAAGGGAGGGTAGGGAGTTGAAAGAGAAGTATGTGAAGAAAATGAACTTATGAGGACAACATAGGAGCTATGATAAGTACCCGACATGCATATCACCTCATTTGACTCTAACAATCCTTGTGGCAGGGATGGTTATCCAGATTTCAGAAATGATGAAATAAGCTCATAAAAGAAATCTAACTTGCCCAGCACCATACAGTTAATGAGCTAGAACTAGAATCTGAAACCAGATCTGCCTTATTGTAGCATGCATATTTTCTTTTCTCTTCCTTTAAACATTTTCACATTATATGAGTGTTTACACATGTACATATAAATTTATATATGTAATTTTTACTCATATGAAATCATACATATATACACACACACTCTTTAACCTTCTCTTTTTCCCTTGTTTTGTCTAACTTCCAAGTCTCTCCCTGTGCCAGCCCCCTTTCTATCTTACCCTACATAGAAACCATTTTATTAAACCAAATATGCCCTTTCATATTTTCCTCCATGTGCATAAAATAATGACAATATTAACAATAAATGTTAATGGTTATAAAAAGCTTACTATGTGTTAAGCCACCAATGGCTTTATATGTACAGCTACATATATAGTACTTCGGTGGGAGGATGGGGTAATCACCGTTTTACAACAGTGGTATCATATTATACCACTCGCCACCCAACATCTTGTTTAACCCATAAAATTTTTTTTTTTTTTTTTTTGAGACAGAGTCTCACTTTGTTGTCCAGGCTAGAGTGAGTGCCGTGGCGTCAGCCTAGCTCACAGCAACCTCAAACTCCTGGGCTTGAGTGATCCTTCTGCCTCAGCCTCCCGAGTAGCTGGGACTACAGGCATGCGCCACCATGCCCGGCTAATTTTTTTTTATATATATATCAGTTGGCCAATTAATTTCTTTCTATTTATAGTAGAGACGGGGTCTCGCTCTTGCTCAGGCTGGTTTTGAACTCCTGACCTTGAGCAATCCGCCCGCCTCGGCCTCCCAAGAGCTAGGATTACAGGCGTGAGCCACAGCGCCCGGCCTAACCCATAAAATTTTGAATAACCTTTCTCCATTAAGGGAATTCCCTCTCTTCTATACTTCCTCTTCACCTCATAACCTGCTTCTTATCATGACTAGACAGGCTAAAAACTTGACTGCCTATAAAGGTAACAAAGACATTCTATTAATATAACCAATAAAAAAATAACTTTTGCTGTTTTGTATGCATGTTTTGTATGCACCTGGGAAGCAAATCAAAAGGAAATGCGGATGGTTGCATCTGTACTGAACCCAAACAGACTCTCTTCCTTGTCATTACTCCTTAAAATACAGTATAACAACTATTTACATAGCATTTACACTGTATTCGGTATCATAAATAATCTAGAGATAATTTAAAGTATACAGGAGGATGTGCATAAGTTATATGCAAATGCTACATCATTTTATATAAGGGACTTGAGCATCCATGGCTTTTGGTTTGTGGGGCTGGAACGAATCCCCTAAACAAATACTGAGGGACAACTGTTTGTGTTAATGTGTAGGCAGTAGGTAATAAGGGAGAACTGATGATGAGGCAACTTTCCTTCCTGTTTTAGGAAAGGGCAAAAATGTAGTGTTGTAGTTTCTCCACTGGATGATTCTTTTGTTTTACATTTATTATTCCACAGCGATTACACCCTAATGTATATTCAAAGTTTGGAAATATTTGATAAGAATTCCATATCACTTCAAGGGAAGGTTATTTTGTTTTCATGGTTCCAACATAAAAGTTTTTACTGCTGATCAAATTCTATTGTAAATGCATGCATACAGGTCAGATTCTAAATTTTTTTAGGCCGATCATACAATATGCTTGTTAAAATTTAGAGAATAAAAATAAAATATTACTCTATTTAATATGGTGATTACAAATGTCTTTGATCATATTTAGAAGACATTTGATCAAATGTCTTTGATCATGTGCATTCTATGATATGCTAAAAGACAATGCTTAAAAAAAAAGACTGACATTTTGAATAACATTCGCAATGAAGAATGGCATCCAGCAACAAAAACCTTACCAACAACAGCTGAGGGCTAAGTCCAGCAGACTCCAAAGTGTGACACATATCCTCAGTGGAGCTTTCTCCATGCAAACACTTCCAAAAAAAGAAACTGCCTAGTAGAACAAAAACAAAACACATTAATCAATGACTACTTACCATTTAGATTAACAATCTTCCTCAAATACAATCTAGAATCCCAGAGGGACAAAACAGTATGAGAAAAGAGAAATTAATGGCTCAATTTGCCTGATGTATTAAAGCAAAAAGCAAATCCTTACCCATCTAACATTGTCTCTTTAGTACACTTATTAATACAACTTGTATGACATAGTGCGTATATATCTAGAATGTCTTTTTTTGACTAAAAAATATAGCACATTAAATTCTTTCATTAATTTAATTTCAATTTCAAAACAAACTGAATCTTTGAGATGCTATATGCTCCTACCAGGCTTTCTTCTAGAAAAGGATACAAAGAACAGTTTATTATCTCACCTACCTAAAGCCACATATTCCTCTTCACTTATCTTCTTTATGTTGAGCACATCTTTCTCATATTCTAAATATTCTAGGAATGTTTTTACAGGCAACACACCATCTTTATCATCAGAAAATCGAACATTAGTCCTGAAGTTCTCCTGTTTATATTTCTCTAATAATGCTTGGAGCTTAAGCAGTTCTTTTTCATTGAGCCTTAGTAACACAGCCAAGTCCTTAAAAATAGAAAAAAGAAGTTCTGAGTAGACTGTGTCTCCTTCTTTGAATCTGTCACTTGTCAACCCCATTATCTGAAATTCAAACGTGTAAGCAAAAGATGATTTTTTTAATTAATGCAATAACTATAGTATACTCTGTTTAAAACTTTACTCTCAAATTACATTTCAGGGGTAGGAGGTTATTTAAATAAAGCTAATCTGGAAACACTACAGATTACTGAAAAAGAATTTTAATAAACATGTATTATTGTATAATCAGAAAAAACTTAAAAGGTATCAAATGCAACTCTTGTCATTCTCCAAAAACTAAAGAACTATTTGAAATTAAATGCTTATTTATTAAGCAACATAAACACTATAAAATAAAAACACAGGAAAACAATTTTCATTGTATCTACATATAAATCCTCTATGTGGCTCTCAGGGATACAACCTATTAGCCTTTCAAACTATTTTTACATACCATAAGTACAGAAACATACCCCAACAGTACTAAAATTTTCTAAATTAGGAACAAGTACACACACACACACACACACACACAGAGTACATGTACTTATACACATGCACTCAAAAACTATAAATTTGCCAGAGTAAATAGTTTTTTCTCCATGTTATGTAAGTAAAGCTGCATTCTTAAACAAGAGCAGTTTCATTTATGTATATACTTTAGGCTACTATTTTTAAAAACAAGCAATAAACTGCAAAATGTTATTAAACACACACCGGGAGTTCGATACATCGAACCTGTATATAAGCTTATATGTAAAATGTCCAACAGCAAAAATAAATTAGTTCAGATTTGAATTTTAGTTTTCTAAGTGTGAAACTAGCCATCAGCTTAGAAGCTGACTGCATGTTTTTTTCTGTTTGGTTTTTTTTTTTTTTTTTTTTTTGAGACGGAGTCTCACTCTGTTGCCCCGGCTAGAGTGCCATGGCGTCAGCCTAGCTTACAGCAACCTCAAACTCCTGGGCTCAAGCAGTCCTTCTGCTTCAGCCTCCTGAGTAGCTGGGACTACAGGCGTGCGCTGCCATGCCTGGCTAATTTTATATATTTATAAATATATTAAAATATATATATATGTAAAAATAAAATTTTAGTTGTCCAGCTAATTTCTTTCTATTTTTTTTTTTTTTTTAGTAGAGACGGGGTCTCACTCTTGTTCAGGTTGGTCTCCGACTCCTGAGCTCAAACGATCCTCCTGCCTCAGCCTCCCAGAGTGCTAGGCGTGAGCCACCCTGCCCGGCTAGCTACATGTTTTTGAAGCATCCAAACAAGTCCACAGCAAATTCTACAAGGGGCTATATATTGTGCTATTAAATGGAAATTAATTCTGTGGGGGATTATTAATGACATATATTGACTTTCTTTGCCATGGCATGCAAGCAAAGATTTTGGATCTCATGAGAAAATTAGGAAGGAAATGTCTAGGAGATCCTATAGACATCACTTAATCAACTTGAACCTTTCTGTTGCTTATAATTATTTTATACTGTTGCTGAAGTAGATAAAAAAAATATCCTATAAACATGGTTTTGTTGTTATAATGGCAATCATAGAATATTATTATGAATAGATTATTGTTAAAATGCAATGTAAAATCCATCTAAAATCCCAAAGATAAAAAGGGAAGATATCAGAATGTGTGGGCTGTTTTTATTACAGAGAGAAAACTTCTTTCACCATTTTTCTTTTTCTCCTTTTTTTTTTTTTTTGAGATAGAGTCTAATCTGTTGCTCAGGCTAAAGTGCCATGGTGTCAAAACCAAATGATTCTAGGGGAGTAAAAATGAATTAACAATAAAATTTAATATTCTTGTATAAATAATATAAATTTAGCACCAAGGCACAGAAAGCCAGGAAGGGACCTGGTAAAGAAAAGACACCTTTAAGGCTTTTAAAAAATTTCTTAGTTTTCTACTTTTTTACTATCAAATTAAAAAAATTAAAAATAATCAGATTATTTTATATAATACTAAAATTTGGGATTACTCACATCATCAGAGAATGGTGTGTCTGAATGAAAATCAACAGAATTTAATTGACTGACAGACTCATAAAGATGCAGCAATCTCAGTTTATTGGCACAAAACTGTAGCAATCCTTCATCAACAGCCTCAAGCTCTAAAAGGAAAAAGGAAAACATATGTAAGAGATATATTATGACTCATAAAAAAGCTTTTCTTTCATTCAACCTCTAATATCACATAATTCCCTGATCTTCTGTTGTATTAAATATTGGGATGCTTAAACTATATCAGATTTTGAAAACAAAGATAATTTAAATAAAATAAGATGTTCTAAGACCAGGGGAGGAAAAAAAAGAAAAAAGCAAGCAAGCAGAAATATCTTCATCTAATAATACTCATATTTAAAGAAATAACATGGAAATATCTTTGAAAATATTCTCCTTCAGCCCATAATTTATATGCTGTCTATTATTCTCACATATTGAGGATATACAAATACAAAGCTCCCTGACTTTTACTACCATGGTGGTCAAAGATACTACAATTCAACCAGAAACTGTGAATTTTGACAGATGTATCCTCAAGAAAACCTGACAAAGAGACCAGAAGTAGAATTCTACTTAATACCCTCTATCAATCAGATTTGATTTTGTTCAAGATTAATGTTAGAGAAATACTCTCTATATAATGCATTTCTGTATAATAGTTTAAATATTTATATCTAATATAAAACAAATGTTTATTCTTTAACACATTAACTGCATGTAAGTATTTAACTCACACTAGTTTTGAGCCCAGGGCCTCATAAAGAGTATGTAACTCACATGTCTCTTTACCTTGGAAGCTTCGAGAACCATTTTTCAAATTGCATATAACTCTCGCACAGAAAACAATAAAAACTAACAAATTTTTCCTTACACTGGAAGGATCATTTTGTTTTTGAAGTTTTTATTCTATTTTCGTAATAAAACATCACAACCCCAAGGAAAAATTTTTTTTTCTAGTGTGGCAGTCAACGTGTTAAACAGAGAGACACTGGAAACTCCCAAGAACCCTTATCTGCAATACAGTAACATGGAATAATGTTCAAGTTCTCATAGCCATAATAAAACTGAGCATATAAAATATTTGAAGTTTTTACGAATCTCATTTATGGGTAGAGCTTAAAACTGATGATTTTTCAGAACTTTAACAAATGGTGTTTGGTTTACTCCAGCAATAGTGCAAGATAATTTGTCATTTAATAAATTTTGATATTTTGTTAACACCTTGAGGGGTAGAGGGGCTTTATAAGAGGGGCTTTTTAAAAGAGGTATTTCTAACAAGTTGTGTGCACTAAAGGAGTTCACTATTCACCAAAGTCAGCTTTACATAGCCGCTTTAAAAAGTCAATAATGAAGAGTGTCTTAAAATTAGGATGCTTGAAGTCTGAACAAATTTTGATTTGTTTATTAAGTCATTTTAAGCTGGCTTAAACATAATTAAATATAAAGTTGGTTTCATATAATTAGCATGACAAAGCAACAGTCATGACTACATGAAGTTGGTCCACTCCACTCTTTAACTGATGTTAGGAATTCAGAATACACTGAATTTGGCTAGTTCATCGGAATAAACTATGGAGTTATAACCCAATGGTTTCAAATGTAATTCTTTTCAGACAAATTTTGAGTAGTAAAAGACAACAGAAAACTTAGAATCATCAAATTATAGCCTGTGATTTTGGAAGTTCTAACTCTGTTCATTCATCAGGGAGGTGGGTGAGAAAATGTAGATGCTACATACTAATAGAACATTAATTCAAAGTATAAATATTTTTGATCATTATCTCTTTCAAAATGACATTACTAAGAATGCCCTCCTACGGAAATCTCTCTCCTTTCATAAAGTTAGATAAAAGATAACAGCAGTTAGAGAACCTTGTTGTTTTTTGCATACCACTGACTAATTTCCCCCTTTTTCCAATAGCTTTCACGATGTTCCACAACTCTATCAGAATAAACACTTCTCATCATTCTATACTGACATCTTTCCTCATAGCAGAGGGATTAAAAGAAAAATTTCCAAGAAGAAATAAAGTCAATATATTCAGAGACAGCTCAGATGAAGATCAATTGCACACATTAAATAGGAAATAAATAAGATTGCTCATTTCTTATATATATTATTTCTACATTAAATTAACATGATGGTATCATAAGCAGTTAACAGCTTTCTACAATCAGAGTTGAAAATTTGAAGTGAGACCATAACTTCCAATCATTACAAACCTTATTACCTTGATTTTTTAAAGTGTCCATTAAAGTCTGAGTGATGTTTCTAAGACAGGAAAATGGTAAACGTTTACTTGCCAAAATGCTTTCCAAAGCCTAAAAGAAAGATATGGAGCAATTCTAGTAACTATAAGGCATTGATTTTGTTTTCTAAATTTTATATTTATGCCTATAGTTCCACTACCCCAAATTTCAAAGGAAAACTCTGTAATTATGTGAGAATTATAGTTGTATCGTAAGTAATACATTATCTACTTCATGTCATGTCAAATATGGTATAATGACAAAAAGTCCAGAGAATGAAACAACTAGAAGGCAACTGCTATTTAAGAGAATGGCCAAGAAAAAACAGAAACAGACACAAAGCTATTCACCAATAAGAAGAGTCTGAATAAGTCTATACTATCTAGGCACAAATGAAAAGCAGAGGTATTATCATGTCAATAATAAAAGCCGACAACTTAGTTATAGCTTAATTACTGCACTTGAGCATGGCAGGCTGAATCTACAGGCCATACTTAGAGACATACATAGTACCCACTCTACCCTACTACTTGTATCTCTCCACATCCCACACCTCCAAAAATATACAAGATTCTTCATAACCAGTTTCAAAATATCTCTCCATGCCTAGTGTAGCAACCATCAGAAACATCAATGAGTTAGACACAGTAAAGTTTATATTATCCTTTCATATTAGCACACTAAATTAGATTTTAATTGATGAAATTAAATCGTTTAAAAAGTAGGCTGAGAATGTGGCAGGAGACAAATATCAGATCATAACACAATAACCTCTGAGTGTCTGTGGAGGAGAAATGGGCTTAGAAGGTACCTTAGGATATTGGTCAGGCCTATGATGAAACAACTACCTGGAGGATATAAAGAAAGAGACTACAAGAAACAAGAAGCAAGAACCCAGGACAAGTGTAATCTGCTTCTGTCCTGCCTATGATTACAAAGGCTAGCAACTGGCTTACTTACCTCCTAAACTGGTTTCCTTCCCTTCCTCTAGTGTTGTAAAATAATACATAACTTTTACTATTGGGCTTTCCAGTATTTTTTTTTTTTTTTTTTTTTTTGAGACAGAGTCTCACTTTGTTGCCCAGGCTAGAGCAAGTGCCGTGGCGTCAGCCTAGCTCACAGCAACCTCAAACTCCTGGGCTCAAGTAATCCTTCTGCCTCAGCCTCTCCCGAATAGCTGGGACTACAGGCATGTGCACCATGCCCGGCTAATTTTTTATATATATTTAGTTGGCCAATTAATTTCTTTCTATTTATAGTAGAGACGAGGTCTCGCTCTTGCTCAGGCTGTTTCGAACTCCTGACCTCGAGCAATCCTCCCACCTCGGCCTTCCAGAGTGCTAGGATTACAGTCGTGAGCCACCGTGCCCGGCCTGCTTTCCAGTATTTTTTATAAAATTCACGGCTTCATACATGACTTCAATAGTGTAGTAAAAATAAAACCAACCAACCATGAAAAACAAGACAGTCTGTACTTTGCTGGTTTCTCAATTTTGGTATTCTTTAAGAAAGATGGCATCAAAATGAAAAGAATTATTTGGGTTATGACCTGTTCCGTAAGAGAGTCCTTAAGTGGCCTTGCTAGATACCCATCTTGTCTTCATAGTCTGATCTTTAAAAACTGACACTTTGCCCTGAAGAAAATGAGCTAATTAGCACTGCCAGTGGAATGGCAAACATTCTAAAAAGTCACAGACACTTGCCTGTTCTACAATAAAACAATAAAAAGTGTTTTAAAAACTGACTGCAACAGAAATCACTACTTACTAAATTCTTCCATGTATGTAGCTATAAAATAATAAGAAATACTCATATTAGTCTATTCCCCCAGTCCCTGGCACAGAGCTCCTAAAAGCCCGGTAATTTCCTGTATGATAGGGGTGCTAGTAGAATCTTTGTTCTAATGTTTGGTCTCTGCTCTAGTTCTTGAGACAGAGCTCCGAATTTCCTTGTAGATAGGGATGCAAGGAGAATCTTTTAACGTTGGCTCTTTGACCCCAGTTCCTAACACACAGCTCCTAAGAAAGAATCTTTATAATTTCCTGGGTTATAGGAGCATCTTTTCTTCTAATGAGGCGACTCTTGCTGGGATCCTAGACAGCCTCAGGATTGGGGCCAGTTGCCAGTAGAACCAATCATCTGATTAGAGGACTGGAAGTTTTATCCCCACCCTTGACCTCAGGGGAAGAGACAGGGGATGAAGATTGAGCTGATCACTGATGGCCAATAATATAATCTGCCTACATAATGAAGCCTCCATAAATACCCGAAGGACAGGGTTTGGAAGAGCTTCTGGATAGCTGAACATGGGAGGTTCCTGGAAAGTGGCTTGCCTGGAGAGGTCATGGAAGCTCTACACTCACTTCCACATGCTCTGCCCTATGTATCTCTTCCATCTGGTTGATCATCTGTATCCTTCGTAATATCCTTTATAATAAATGGGTAACTGAAAGTAAAGTGTTTCCCTGAGTTCTGTGAGCTGCTTTAGCAAATTAACCAAACCTGAGGAGAGGGTCCTAAGAAATCTGCTGAAGAAATTGGTTGGGACATGGGGGAAAAAACTCACACATCTAGTGACAGAAGTGTTGAGTGACTGACTGTGTAAGAGAACAGGAAAACACACTATGATTTTTTTTTCTTATATTCTCACAGTAACATTATTTTAGATGCCATGAACTATAAAAATGAAATATTTGGTAAGGTTCCTACTTGACGGAGCTTAAAAGAGCTCATGAGGAAAAAGTTGGGAAGCTATTGCTATTATATATGAAATAATTAGAAAATAAGTAGTCATTAACTATCTGGTTCTAATTAAAAGTAGACTAGGAGTTAGAGTTATCCATTAAAATTGAAGTATCTTGCTTGTAAGAATTTATGAAGTTAGGACTTGGGCAGCATTATGAGGGGTATGGATAGGAGGAGTGGGAATAAAAGAAACAACAATCAGTTACCATATTATAACCACAAGCCTGGCAAAAGGTAATAAGTCTGACAATACCATGGGATGTCAAGGCTGTGGAGCAAGAGGAACTCTTATAATATAAGTGGAAGTATAAATGAGGTCAACTATTTTGAGAAACAATTTGTCATCAACCAGTACAGCTGAAGAAGCTCACATCCTAGCAATTCTACTCTTCAGCAAACTAAAGAGAAATTCTTGCCTGTATGCACCAAGAAACAACTACAAGGATAAGCACAGCATCACTGTTTGTAATAGCAAAAACCTGGAAACAATCTAAAAGTTCACTGTCAGGAGAATGACAAAAGAGTGGAATTCATATGGCATAGTAAATAAATCAACCATAGCTACATACATCAATATGAATGACTCACAGACACATAATGTTGAAGGAAAAACTAAAGTCACAGAGGAAGATGTTCATTTACAAAAAGCTTTAAAAGGCAGGAAATGCATCAATAGATTTCAAAGGAGCCACACAGGAATGATGTTAACTATAAAGAAAAGCAAAAGAGAGAACCACAAAATTCTCAGTTGTGGTTACCTTAGTGATGGGAGAAGGCAATGGGACTGAGGAGGGACACACAGGACTCTTTAGAGCTCTGGTAAGATTCTATTTCCTAAGGTGAGTTGTCATACACATGTGTTTATTTTATTATCATGCTTTAATCCAAATGTATGTTATGAATGGATAAGTATAGGTGTATTTGTATAAAATAACTCATGTATGGCAATATTATTTAATTTTTTAAAAAGAGAGATAACAGGAACTTCTACATAGGAATATAAAAAGGGATAAACATAATAAAAACATGAAAAGAAGACTTTAGCCTGTCATGTTTGAGGGAAATAGGAAAATAAAGATTTTCTTAAGAGGAATGTATCATAACTACTAGCAGGAAAGTTCATATATTATACAGACTTACTTGTTTTTTGGTTGCAGGGTATTTAATATCAAGAATTAATTCCTTTATTTCTGTTTCAACCAAATCTATAAAAAGAAAATTAAAGTAAAATTTTCATTTTTCTAACAGTGAAACATTATTCTGAAAGAAAATGAACATATTTGTACTACTGGTCAGTCTATAGGATTTTGGGGTTCTCTCACATTATTGTTTTGTTGTTGTGAGTTTCAATATCCCCTATATGGCACACTTCATCCTTACAGAGCAATTCTTTTTTTTTTTTTTTGAGACAGAGTCTCGCTTTTGTTGCCCAGGCTAGAGTGAGTGCCTGGCGTCAGCCTAGCTCACAGCAACCTCAAACTCCTGGCTCAAGCAATCCTCCTGCTCAGCCTCCCGAGTAGCTGGACTACAGGCATGCGCCACCATGCCCGGCTAATTTTCTATATATATTAGTTGGCCAATTAATTTCTTCTATTTATAGTAGAGACGGGTCTCGCTCTTGCTCAGGGTGGTTTCGAACTCCTGACCTTGAGCAATCCGCCCGCCTCGGCCTCCCAGAGTGCTAGGATTACAGGCGTGAGCCACCGCGCCTGGCCCTTACAGAGCAATTCTCATAAAAGGCACAGGGGAGTACTAGTACCCTCCTCACTTTGAAAAGGAGTTAAGATAGCTCATCAGTGCATTTAAGTATTTTGATTGTTCCATTCAGAATATTTTGTTAATTTAAAGAAATGACAGAGCAATATGCTTTACTATTTTTATTCAAGGATACCTACCAAGATTGGGAGATTTTGTTTTCAGTAAGGCTGCCAGTTTCTTCACTAAGTGCATGTCCTTGGCTCGTTCACTCTTCTTGTCACTAAAACAATAAATACAACAAATTCTTACACAATGTGAAACTGTTTTCCTTCTAATCCTAATACTAATACATTCCAACTTTCTTTTCTCCTTTATATACTTCCTATTTAACTTAAAAGGTAGCAATTTTATGAAAACGAAACAACAATAGAACAATAACTACAAAACAGCATGACAAACAAAGGAACTGGGAAAAGTTAGCAGAGGAACATGGATCAGCAAACACTCAATAAATCTTACCTCAGTGCTAAGTGGAAAGGAACATTCACTGTTTTCACACTTCCAGACACGGGATCAACAAGACAGATCTGGTAGGTCTGTGGCTGCCAACTCTGACTGGTAACGTTATTCAAGCCCATTATTTTATATCCAGGATACAGTAGCCTAAGAAAATCACATACCACTATGATAAAAATATTAGGAAAAGGAGGAATGCTAAAAGGTGCTTTTATTATAGTTAGAGAACTTGACATTATTATTAATTCAGGAGCATTAATAAGGCAAATAAATACTAATATTGAAAACAAATAAAACAAGACTCAACTGGCAGAGTCCTTTTAACCTTGTTAAAAGGTTTTATAAAATTAAATGAATACCATCAGATTTATGTTTCAATGGCAAACAAAGCATTTGCCTCACTAAGCATCACTAGGAGAATCTGAAGGAACCTTTCCTTTTGAGCCTTCACAGCATAAGTTAGAGACAAATGGTAGCACCAAGCTAACTTTCAGTAATTTTTTGTTATTAAATACTTAATCGTTAATTATATACCAGGCACTTGCAGGGAAAACCATAATAAAGAATATTACAATTCTCAAACGACAGGCAATCTAATAAAATCTAATCTAGTAAAAGCTTTACTTTAATAAAAGTATTCCTCTATTTCTTTTTGTGATCAGAAAAATGCCAGGGATTGCAGCTTACCTGCAGTGCTTCCCCACATTGAAAGCTCCTACTCTAGGGCCCTGCTGTGTGCTCCACACTTCTAATATTCCCCTTCTTGGCGCATAGATCACAAGGAACTGAGCTACTCGACTTGGGCCCTGAGTATTTCCAAAAGGGGAAAAATCCACCTTTTCTGGTACTCTTTCATGGAGGTCCTCTACAATTTGAATCCATCCAATTTGTGCACCTCGGTACCCTTGGAGACAGAGGAAAAGGGAAGTTAATTATTTTAAATTTAATTTTCTACCATTCAGTAAGTTAAAGCCCTCCTGGGAAGCACTCTTGAAATATCTGTGTGGGTGGGGGTGGGGCGGGGGGTAAAAGAACGAAAAGTATTTTAAAAGGTGGTAGCTGACGCTGTCTCCCATTTTACTGTAGTCCTTTCACAGGCAATTGAATCCCTTCTTCTCTTCCTGGATGGAAAAAAAGAAAAAAAACTGACTTGCAACCAAGCTTTGCAAGAAGGGACAGGGAATAAATGTTAAGTGGGAAACCAACGATTCCCAACAGTGGATTTGCCAACTCCACTACAGTTAAATTCTTTTGTATTTTTGGAAAGAGGTTTCTTAACTTGAGGAAAACACCACCTTTTGTTGTTTCCGGAAAAAAAACCACCCAAGGAAGAATGATGTATCTATTGGATTGAACTTTATGCGTACCAGGGACACCTTAAACATGTGGCAGGAATAAAAAAACCATGCCTTTGTCTGTCCACTTTGCAGGAGTTTCTTTGGGCGGAAGAGGTGGACAGGAAACCTCCAATTTGGGGTTCCAGGAAGTATTTTTCCATGTCTTCCCTTCTCCAAAATCGATAATCCTCCACATTTTAAATATAGGGACAAAACTGGCCCATTATGTGGGTTTCCAAAACCAGTGGTCTATTGGCTGGACATGGAAAACAATTCAGATAATTCTTTAATATGCATTTCTTTCCTTTTCTTCCTTTTAGTAAAGAAAAATTTATTTAGGTTGACCAATGTGGTCTTACTTAAAAAAATATTTTTCTTTTCTTTTTTTTTGTTTTTTTTTTTTTTTGAGAGCAAAGGAGTCCACTTTTGTATGGCCCAGGCTAGAAGTAAGTTGCCCTGGCAATTAAGGCCTAGGGGCTTCAAGGCAAAACCTTCCAAAAAAACTTTCCTGGGTCAAAGGCCAATCTTCTGGCCTTGTTAGAGGGCCTTCCCCGAACAGCTGGGACTACAAGGCATGTGCCACCATTTTGCCAAGCTAATTTTTTGCTATATATAATTAGTTGGCCAAATTCTTTTTTTCTGTTAAAGAGACGGGGTTCTTACTCTTGCTTTTCAGGGCTGATTTTGGAACTTCTGAACCTCGGAGGCAGTCCGCCTTTTTGCCTCGACCTACCAGAGAGCCTAGGAATTACAGGGGTGTGACCACCATGCCGGCCTTAAAAGATATTTTCAAAAGTCTCTTCTTTTCAGGTTAGATGTGGTCATATCCATACAAGGGTCCCTAGGCTTAATGGTATTTGGTGGGTATTGTAAGATAGGCTGGTGGACTTTGGAAAATTCTTTCCAAGCGGACTGGGAACTTAAGTAGCCAGAGTACCCTGCTTTTCCCCTTCTTCTTTCCTTCTGGAAGAGGTAAAGAAGGCTGGGGCTACTGAGAACCCCTTTAGTGGGGAAAGCTACAAGAAGCCAGACCTGGGGGGTTTCCTGAAGATACTGCAGCAGTATGTCAATCCTATACTTGGGTCTGTTACAAACATCCAAATGAAACTCCTGACATAGTTACTGATAAACTAAGTGGATTGACCCAAGCATAAGTATATTAAAGTCAAGTCAGTGAAGATGGATTTTGCTAAATTTTTCTATCTTAATTCTGAAAGACTTTCCAGGAAACTGAATTTAGAAATTGACAGTGACAGTGAGAACTGAAAGAACGTGAATAAGGCAGAGGGCAAATGTGCCTATGAGATGACCAAAGTTAAAGGATGTGTCAATCAACTATTGAATCAAGTGTTGGGGATCTGAGTTCATGTTAAAAAAGAAAACATAAACATTAAGGATTAAACAGTGTTATCAACCAGAAGCTAAAGGATGATAACACTGCTCAATCAGTGGGGTTAAAAAGTGAATTAACATTTTTCCGGATTTTTGTGAGTACCTTTCCACATGCGTATTGCAATTCCTCTAGCTACATCCAATAAAATAACTCTGCCGAAATCATCTGTTACTGCTGCCAGTGTGTTACAGGGAGACAGACATATGCTTTCACCATGGCGTCTAGAATCTGGAAGTCCAAATCTGATATTTAAAAGAAAATAAAAAGCTCAAATCATATTTCAATTTAGAAACATACAGCAGAATAAAGAAACGCATAAATAAAATGAGCTGAATCTGTTTTTACATAAAGAAATAAGAACTTTGCCTGGATTAATGTTAGTTATAATTATAATAATTTCTTATTTATAATGACATTTCAAATAAAATACATAAGAGAAATTTTAAAACCACAGTCCTATGTAGGGTTTCTATAGATATCCACAACCCTATATTTTTAGGGACTATCAAGTATGACTTTATCTTTACTTGATTAAGAGGCATGTCATAGAAAATAATACTCTCACCACCAACTGGATTTTAGAATACTTTTCTCCCATATAGGCATCTATTGTCTATTTTAAGTTCTTGTTCCTAACTTGTTCTTTTTCTTTGCTAGATATCACACCCTGCGGACACCAGTGTATCTGCCTGAAACAAGAATGTTCCTTTTTCTAAACAGTTATCTCTAAACTGCTATTTGTCTATAATCAACTTTATTAGAATTGTGAGAAAAATAAAAGTAAAGAAGTACTGAAAAAGAACTAGGAGAGTTTACTTTGAGAAAAGTCCATGAGATAAATATGTGCTCAAACTTTGTTACATGTATTAATATTTGAGATACATAGGTCCCTTTGGCTAATTTCTTGATCTTTGATTTAGGAAATGTGACATGTTACAACACATTTTAAAATAAGATGAAAAAAATCTTAGAAGATACATTTCAATACATTTTAGTAACAGTTAATGAGTTGGCTTTCTTTAGATAAAGATCATCTAAAAAGCAGAGGTGGGAGGAAGGTTCTAGTTCCCTTCACAGTGGTACTTCATATTAGGTAACAAAAAACAATTTAAAAACAAAACCAAGTATTAGAAGACATGCTTCTGTCAACAATAAAAACAAAAGCAAAACGAAAAATTATGCTCTCCCTCCAAAAAAAAATCTCAACAAATATACTAATACATTCTGTAGCACTACTGAAGTAAACAAGGAAGCACAAGCCAATATTCTGAGAAGTGCTTGAATACACATGACTCCTGTTTTTGTTGTTTTTTTAAGAAATCACTGGGTACTTTTTAAGTTTATACAGCTAAGTAACAAACTATCTTAACTTCTAAAAGAAATTCAACAGCTATCACTAAACTAACTGTCTTACAACTTAAGTTTATTTGTTAAAAACTACACTCCACAAATATATCTTGAGTACCTACTATATGATAGGGAGACAGCTATGAACAAAATAGGCAAGGATCACTCTTCTCGTGGAGTTTCACATTCTAGAGGGGGAAAAAAATCCCACATTAACTATTTTCAGAATCTCCAAAGACTTCTGAGACCAGAAAATCAACTAAGCACACTGAAAGACCATGAATTTAACAATACCTTTCTCAAAGGACTAAAACTTAAGCAGCATGACAGACTTGCCTTACAGCTAATGGGGTAGCTGGTTCAACCTTAGGCTTCTGCTTTTGAACAGCTTCTTCTTCATGCTTACTTTTCCAACCAAGCCAACCACTGAAAAGAAAGAACATTTAGAATAAAAACTGAGCTTCCAGGGTTTCAAACTGAAGACTATCAAAATATAAGTTAAAACCAAGCTAAATACAAATTAGGTCATTTTTATTTAATTATTATGTAATTACCTGGCAGCATTAAATAAAGCAGAAGTGAGTTTACTTGCAACTGCTAGTGCAACATGAGATAATAATGGTTGTGTGCTTCCCTGAAACACAGAACATGTGAAAGACAAAAGTTAGTAGCTTACAAAGAAACAAAACATACTTTCTAAAGCTTATTTCAAAAAGCTTTGAAAAGCTGTAAAGCCTAGACTACCAACTCAGCTTCTTTCAGAAGGCAAAAACTTAATTTTAGCAGAAATACAATAAAAAGTTTTAACTTTATAGTTTAAAAATAAAATCACTACCAGTCTATTTTACCTTTAGGATTTTCCTCTTTAAATTGTAATTTAGTTAAATTAAATTTTCAACTAAGGATATTAAGATGACATTATTCTAGCTAAGGTATGGATTTTCCATCTACACACACATGACTAGCTCTTTTCCCTCCCCTCCCCCTCTCTATACACACACACACATATATACATACACATTTATAAAAAAGTAAAAAGATAAAAGATAGTTTGGACAATTCTGAGAAGGCTGCTTTTTATAAGTGAGAAATAAGAACTACCAAATCTAACACCTAACTTTTTCTTATTTTAGGAAGCAATTTTCACCACTTACATCAACTAAAGTTGGTAGCTTGTTTTTTTTTTACAATTCTTCATTTACTCAAATCCCTAGTGGGCTGACATCATTAACAACCCTGAACTTCTGACTACTGCAGCAATATTTAAAGATTACTCAGCCATCAAAGAGCTCAGGGCTTCAGAAACAAAAGAAGATTGTTTGTTTTACATTGACTTTAGTATCTTTTCACTTACACTAAAGAATTTAGAAAATAGCTAGTTGAGATTAATTTTAGCTTCAATTGAAACTTAAAAATGCAAGCTGCTTAATCTTTCTAAGGTCGGGTTACTATATCCAATTTGTAGACAAGTTGACAATAGTGGCCTTACTCATGATCAGTGATGAAACTCATACCTCTAAAGCGTAGAAGAAGCCAGTAAATGGATTGGATCCTACAGTGATATACTGAGACATGGCAGGTGGACTGTTTTTAATTGCCGCGTTAAATCCACCTATATTGGAAGCAGTCTTCATTTGATCAAAGGGGGACAGAGTCATAATACCTAGAGATAAAAAAACAAAAAAAAATTCCACATGATTTGAATGTACAATGTTATTTTAGGTCATTCAATTTTTACTTCAGTTTCATTCTAAGATGCTAACTGCTTAGTTTTATTTACAAGCAAAAGTCATTTTTAAAAGCTTCAAAATCAACATCAGAAAATCTTCACAAATATTAAAATCACTCTCTATAATTTCTTTAACTATAAAATATGCAAAAACAAATTTAAATATTAATATCTTGAACAGATACAAAACTCAGAAGGTACAAGAAGTATACAGTCCACCTGTATCTCGAGGTACCAATTTATTTATTGGAGACAACAACTGAAAGTTTCTTATGCTGAGGTGTTGTATAGACACAAATGACAGCACACCAAATAAACTGACATGTGCTTTGCTTTTTTTATTTAATACAATATCAAAGAGACATGGCACACTCTTCACAATCACTCTTACTATTCTATTCTATGGTCATGCCATAATTAATCTGACCTACTGATGGACATTTAGGTTGTTTCCCATCTTTTGGCACTACAAAGAATGCTGCAATATATATCATCAATGTCTTTGCACATCCACACCTATATAAGTCTATCTGTACAGTAAATTCTTATAAACAGAAGTCTAGGGGGACGATCTGCATTTTAAAAAATTTTATTAAGTACTGCTACAATGCATTGCATAGAGGTGGTGTTACCTTACATTTCCACGAAAAAGGTAAGAGAGTACCTGTGCTCTGGACTGTTCACAACACAGTGAAAACATACATTTTCATACATCTACTTTTTAGTCCAAAAATCCCCAATGTTTTATAATGAAGAGTTACTTTTCATTTCCCTAAGGCTCTAAGAACAAAAGTAGACAGCCTGAATGCTGACATCCACATGCCTTTGCAGAGTAGTGGGAAAAAAACAGTGTCATTTGAATTCACCTGAGTGGCAAAGAGAGAAAGAGGGGGAAAGTGAGCCTAGACTAGGAAGCAAAGATCTGTTGCTAGATTCCAACATACGCTGACTACAAACTTGGTACTCATATGTTACATGAAGACACCCTGTTGAGAGGACCTGAACTCAAATATACCACAGAATGGAACAAGAATTATTGTTAAAGTTTCTATTGCTCCAATACTAATTTCTGTACATAAGTATTGCCTCTTCTTTGCTCAAACACTGTCAAAAAAACATTGGTCCTGAAGAAGAGTCCTGAGAAAGGAAATTCTTTTAGTGAGTTCATAAGCAATTATTCACTGGATTTACAGAAATTAAAGTGACCAAATAAACCCTTGTAAAAGTTGGACTATTCTAAAAGATCAGAACACCTAATATTCATAAATGAATTCATGATTCAATAGACCAAATGCTTTTACTACATGATAAAATTTGTGTAAATTTTGCTTGAGTCTACCAGAACAAGATCAAAGGGTGAAATGTATGGCACATAAATTGGCATTTAAGTTTTAAATTGGCTTCTCTCGGCCTGGCATGGTGGCTCACACCTGTAATCCTAACACTATGGGAGGCCGAGGTGGGAAGATCCCTCAAGGGTCAGGAGTTCAAGACCAGCCTGAGCAAGGGTGAGACCCCCATCTCTACTAAAAATAGAAAGAAATTATCTGGACAACTAAAAATATATAGAAAAAATTAGCTGGGCATGGTGGTCCATGCCTGTAGTCCCACAGCTACTTGGGAAGCTGAAGCAGAGGGATTACTTGAGCAGTTTGAGGCTGCTATGAGCTATGCTGATGCCACTGCACTCTAGCCCAGGCAACAGAGCAAGACTCTGTCTCCAAAAAAAAAAAAGAAAATGGCTTCGCTTCTCTCTTTGTACTCTCATACAATATAGATGGAAGTATAAATTGCTATACAATATCCTGAGAACAATTTGGCAATGTATATAAAAAAATTTTAAAGGAACTGACTCTAATTTATTCTCAGTAAATAGCTGATCAGTTCTTTCCATCCTTACTACCAACAATCTTTTTCTTCCCACAACTTAAGTCAGCCACTTTCAATACTGTACCTTAGATCCAGTCATCATCATATTCTTTGTGACCCTAATTTCAAGCATATCACTTTTTGACCATCACCCCCCTAGCTTGTAATAATTCCACAATTTCATCAAGAATTCCGATTCATTAATCCTATCTCTTTTTTTCCCACTATTTATCAAGGAACTCCTGTGATCACTTCCCTGCTTATCCAACTTACATTCACGTTCCATTATAACTACTCTTGCAATACCCATAACTCCCCTACAAACATTTCCCTCCAGATCTCACCTGGCTAAATCTTAACCTTAGTTGACCTAAATTTTCTGCATTCTCTGCTCTTGAAGCAAAATAGCTGATTATTGCCAAGAAAAACAATACATCTGGGTTTAAAACTAAGGACCCCAAACAAATGGGCACAGAAGCCCAAAATCCTACTCTTCTCCTCAACCCCTTCCTCTACTCAATCCTTTGAGATCTATTTGTTGAAGAGTCCAGGTTGTTTTGACACTAATTTCCCAGTCTATGGTTTGCTAACCACATCTCTTAACATGTTGTTTTGCCCTCTATACTGCTACACATTGGTAATTGAATCTAGGGACTTGTGAGTCTTTAGCATTATTTTTCATTGATTTAAGGTGATACAGCTTATTTATAGTCCCTTCTCCTCTTTCCATATCCTTCCAAAATATCTATATCTCAATCTTTAAATAAATTCACATTCACTGTTTTCATTATTAGGAATGATATAAATATTACTCACTGAGATAAACTATTAATACCTACTATAATTACACTTCCTTGGCTATAATTTTTTTTCTAGAGTTATTCTTACCCTCACTTAGGGTTTTCCCTGAACATCTGAGGCCTTTCCATACTTCAAAACACATTAAAGTTCCTCTCAATATAAATTTCCATAAAGTCAAACTCTTTGAAGGCCTCGTTGAGTGTGATATATTAACAAAGGCCTGAGTGAAGAGAGGGAGAAAGCCATGTGAATAGCTGGGTAAAGTTCTCCAGGCAGAGGGAGCAGTAATTATAAATGCTCTAGAGTGGGAGACAGAATCAGAGAGGTAACATAAACCAGATAACGTCAGGCCTTGTATGCCACTATAAGGAGCAACCAAAGGAAAAGAGATGATATGGAAGAAATGGAAGGAAAAAGGAGAAACAAGAATTCAATTTTGGAGATGTTAGGTTTGGATATCTAGGTAGAAACGTTCAGTAGGGAGCTGGAAAAATGAATATGAAACTTAAGGAAGAGGTCAGGACTGGAGATAAAAATGGAGATGCTGTGATTCTATTTCTTATTCTCTTTGTTTGTGATGTTGGAGAGTAGGGAGTGGAAATATTTATTCCTAAACCTACCCCAATCTGGCTTTCATCTTCAATTCCACTTTAACTGTTCACATCAGGAGTCAATAAAGAGCTCTTAAGTTGTCAAATCCAATGGACCTCACTCCTTTCTTGAACTCTATAAAGCATTCAACAGTAACCACTCCCTCCCAAATTTTTATGTATAATCCCAACTTCCTCCCTGAACTACAGACTTGCATATCCAATTTGTCCACTTGATGCCTCTATTTGAAAGTATAACTGTGTCAGAAGTTAACCTGCAAAAACCATACTTTTGATTTGTCCACCTTAAATCTCATCCTCTTCCTTATTCTCATTTCAGTAAATAGTCTGATCATCCACCCAGTTGCTCAACCTTAAAAATTAAGAAATCCTTCAATTTTTCCTTTCCTTTCTCTCCTTTCTCAAAGACACTGCCGTAGCAAGCAAATATATCTCACATCTGTCTACCTCTCTCCAACTCCACTGCCTCCACCCCAGATAATGCCATCATTCTCTCTTGCCTAGAATTATCACAACATATTCCTAACTGGTCTCCTTGCTTTCTTCTTCAAGCCTCTCTATTAATATAAACAGTAGCCAAAAGGTATTTTAAAATGTAAAGCCCTACTTAGAATCCATCAATGATATCCACTGCATTTAGAATAAAATCCAACCTCTTTATCCCAAAGTGATCTCACCCAATTCTGCATCTCCAACCTGACCTTGTCCCGTTTTCCCCTCACTCTTTATAGCCAAGTCACACAGACCTCTTTTCTGTTTCTTGAGCACTCTGAGATCTTTGAGGCCCCCAGCCCTTTATTCTTGCTGCTGCTTCTGCCTAGAATGCTCTTCCTACAGCTCTTCCCATAGCTGGCTCCTTCTCTTCTCTAACATCTCAGTCTGAATGCCAGTTCCTCGGAAAGGCCTTTCCTCACCAGTCTACCTAAAGTACCCTCTTCTTCACTCTCTATCATAACCTTCTGCTTATTTTCTTCCTGAGGCCTACTAACATTTTTATATTACCATACTTATTGATTTGGTTTGTTTATTGCCTCCCCATCACCAGAATATAAGCATCATCAGAGCAAGAGTTTCTGTCTGTCCTGTATTTCTAGCACCAATATCAGTCCTTGGACATAACAGGTATTCATTTATTTGCTGAATAAATTAATGAGACCTTTATATAAAGATGTACATATAATCAAATTTCTTGCACCTTTCTTTTTTCATTTTGTAGGCTGGGGATAAATGAATAGAGTAATATTTTCTATCCAATCATTTCCCGTAGCCAGTTTCAATGTTCCAAAGTTTAATTACCAGAGCAGGGAAGCTACCCTGAACTGAACTCAACACTTTGGAATTTTGCAGCATTTTTATGTTAGCAAAAAAGTAACACCCTGAAATGTTCACCCACAGGTTTTTTTTTTTTTTTGAGACAGGGAGTTCTCGCTTTGGTCCTGGGTATGATTGTGTAAGGCCGGTGGGCGTTCGCTAGCTACACGCTAACCTCCTAACTCCTGGCTCAAGCAATTCCTCTCTGCCTCTCAAGCCTCCCAAGTAGCTGGGAGCTACAGGCATGGCCACCATGCATCCGGTATTATTTTCTAGTAATTATATTAGTTTGCAATTAAATTCGTCTGTTTATAGTAAGGGGACGTGGCGGCATCGTCTCAGGCTGGTTTCGAATCGCTGACCTCGAGGCAATCCGGCCGCCTCAGCTCCCAGGAGCAGGGAGTTACAGGCGTGAGCTCACCGCGCCCGGCTACCACAGGTTTTATTGTACCAGAGTATCGCCATTACAGAAGCTATGCAGTAGAATTAGAAAAGAAAGACCTAAGAGTCAGACTAATCCTCTTAGGTCCCCTCTAAGGATTCACCTCCCGGTCTTTTTGTCCCTGTCACGCTTCTCTCTGTGTCCCAGGGGCAGTGTGTATTAAGTCACACTGAGCTTTAAGTTGTAGCAGACAATGGAAAAACCCATCAGGTGCATCTAAAGACAGAAAGGGAATGAAGTCCGAGGATATCTATTGTCCTGGCTGCCTTCCCTGTCGAAAAGCTGGGCATATGCACCCGTTGAACAAAGTCATCCTGTTCTCCAGATTGGCTGATGTGCTATCATATATCTCTAAGTTCTGAAACTGCTCCCTGCCCTAATCTCTTTTAGGCTAGGAATGGTTAACAGCTTGGCCTGCTGAAGGAGTCCTGGATACTGTCCTTAGCCTCTTGTGGTTTTCTCTACATCCATCTTTATAAAATAGCTCTCTGTTAAAATAAACCTTCTTACAATTATCGTCTTGTTCAAGTACCACATCTGTTTTCTATTAGGAACTGAACCAATAAAAATGATGGTTTAATAAAGATTGATGTGAAAGGCTCTTCATGATATGTACCGATTAGAAAGAAGCTATATGTCTTTATATGGCAGTAAATATATTCACATGTACCTTACACACACACAAACACACACATTAGAAAGTCTGTAAGGATGTTTACCAAATTGCCAATGAGGAGTATCTCTGGATAGGGTTAAAGATATTATTTTTCTTTTTCTCTTTATATATATTATTATTTAATTTTTTTACAAGCACATATAAAACAAGAATACCGATACATGTATAAACCTAGTATGTCCATCCTTCTATATACCATTTTATCCTTTAAATTCAAAAGCCATTACATTTTCCCAAGATTATTATGGCTTCCTTACTAGATCCAGTTTCTAATTGTTGGATCCCTCTATTCCAGGCCTATAAACTATCACCAAGTGATTTTTCTCAAGGCAAATGTTGATGGACGTATTCTGCTTGCTCAGATTCTTCAGTGGGCTCTCGATGTGGCCAGGAAGGGGAAGAAGATCTAAATGAAAAATGTTTATACTATCGCGACAGTTAATAGGCCCTTCAAAACTCTGACTCCCTTTCTACATATTGGCGCCACTCTTGCCAGTTATCCGGCACTTACTGTTTTCCTGCATACTATGCACTTTTCCTTACATCTATGCAGTATGTTGTCTGGAAGCCTTCTCGTGCTTGATTCTCTTGATCCAAGTCCTACCTCATTCTTTCATTTCAGATTACGGTTAGGACTCCTCTCCTTGATGCCCTGCAATGCTAAGGGCTTTTTCCTTTGGCTCCCACTACAGTTAGTCCACTTGTCTGTCACACAACAATCATTTACTGTTGTAGTACGCAGTATTCTTAAGTGTTTCGTTCCCAACTTCTGGCATGGAGAGGACCATATTTTTCATCTCTGCTATTTTTGTGTGTTGTGGTTTGGTTGTTTGTTTGAGGATCAGAGTCTCACTTTGTTGGCAGGCAGAGTGAGTGCCGTGGCGTCAGCCTAGCTCACAGCAACCTCAATCTCCTGGCTAAGCGATCCTCCTGCCTCAGCCTCCCAAGCAGCTGGGACTACAGGCATGCAGCCCCATGGCGCTGGGCGTAATTTGTTTGTCTTAGTTATCAGATTGTTTATTTTAGTAGAGATGGGGTCTCGCTCAGGCTGGTTTCGAACTCCTGACCTTGAGCGATCCACCCACCTCGGCCTCCCAGTGTGCTAGGATTACAGGCGTGAGCCACTGCGCCTGGCCATCTCTGTATTTTTGATGCCTAATATTGTAGCTGTCAAACACTAGTTGCAAGAAAAAAATCTGCTTTCATCTTTTACCTATATTCTGCAGTTTAAAGTGTTGTTTTTTTTTGACACAGAATCTTGCTCTGTCTCCCAGGTAGAGTACAGTGGTGTCATCATAGCTCACTGCAACGTCAAGCTCCTGGGCTCAAGCGATCCTCCTGACTTAGCCTTCTGAGTAGCTGGGACTACAGGCACATGCCACCACACCCAGAAGATTTTTTCTATTTTTGGTACAGACCAAAAATTTTGTGTAAGACCGTAAAGCCATTTTGTCTCCTAGGAAGTAAAGAATCAAGCCACTTAGTGCCCTCTTATTTTAAGCTGCTCTAAAAAGAATTCTGGTTATTTAGCCAAAATTGTTGTGACACTATTCAGCATATAGGAAAATTCTCTCTTTGGCCATTATCAAATCTGCAGGGTTTAGAGGGTTATATAGTTCTGCAGTGTTTACAGGCTGACGCCACGGCACTCACTCTAGCCTGAGCAACAAAGTGAGGGGTCTCAAACTCCTAAGCACAAGCGATCCTCCCACCTCTACCTCCCTGAGGCTAGGATTACAGGCATGAGCCACCATGCCCAGCCTAAAAGTTACATTTTTTTTTTGAGACAGAGTCTCACTCTGTTGCCCGAGCTAGAGTGCCATGGCATCAGCCTAGCTCACAGCAATCTCAAACTCCTGGGCTCAGGTGATCCTCCTGCCTCAGCCTCCCGAGTAGCTGGGACTACAGCCATGCACTACCATGCCCAGCTAATTTTTTCTATATATTTTTAGTTGGTCAATTAATTTCTTTCTATTTTTAGTAGAGATGGGGTCTCACTCTTGCTCAGTCTGGTTTCGAACTCCTAACCTTGAGCAATCCACCTGCCTTGGTCTCCCAGAGAACTAGGATTATAGGCATGAGCCACCTTGCCTGGCCTAAAGGTTACATTTTTAAAAGACTGATTTACATGATCATTATACGGACAAACCTGTCTGTAGAAGAATTAAGTCAAATAGTGAGTGACTTAAAGTTGTGCAAGACTGCTGCTGAGGACATAATTCAATCATTATTAAAATTGCTACCATTTCTTAAAGACATAAGCCATGAGTCTGAATTTCCACATGTCTCACTAAAGGTGATACATTTTTTTCACAAAAGAATAAATGTTCATTTTTAAATAAATGAGACACTTCAATCAAAAAGTATAAGAAATAAATTCTAATATAATTTGAACTAATACTACTTACCAACACTAGCATGATCAATTATGGCATCAATATCTTGTAGACCCCATTTCTTATAAGCTAATGGTGGTGGTTGTATATTCTCATTGCCTGATGCTGCAGCTATCAAAGATAAAAAGAACAGACAATCCAAAATTACTTATAATGGATAAGATAAAGTTTTACAAAAAATCAATAAAAATATAACAATTTATTATTCTAAGATTTCAACTAATAATAACGAAGCAAAGTAACAAAAATAAGACATAAAGTGAGATTCATTTGTGCCTAGTCAATGCGCATAAAATGCTAACATTTAAAAGACTAAGTTGGCCTCTCACAAAAGATTTTGGAACACTTAAGTGATTAAAGAAGACTATTAAAAATCCTAAGATACTACTAAAAATCAAGGTGAATTCAATCTCCAATTGATGCAAAATAAGCAACTTCTCTCTCTTAAGAAAGTGGGTAAAATCCTGGGAACTGCAACCAGTGCTTTACTCAGTGACAAACTAAAAACCTGATATACCTGGCAGAGCATATGTACAGCAAGGTCTCTCACCTAAGTAACTGAGGCCATATTTGATAGCAAGGTATGTTAACAGCAATAGCATTGCCAGAAAAATTAATGAAAGGCCAATCTTTAACCTCCACCCCTCTACCTAATACGTATGAAAGTTATATCGCTTGCCGTAGGTTCATGCACAAGGTCCAATTTATCAATAAATTCCCATGCTACATATCACAATACCGCAAAATTCTAGCTGTTTATTCTGGAAAGTGAAGAAACGTACTTTAATAAGGGAAAAATATAACCCTCTAAACCCTGCAGATTTGATAATAAGGCCAAGAAGAGAGAATTTTCCTATATGCTGAAATAAGTGTCACAACAATTTGTGGCTAAGTAACCAGAATTCTTTTTAGAGCAATTCAAAATAAGAGGGCACTGAGTGGCTTGATTCCTTACTTCCTAGGAGACAAAATGGCTTTACGGTCTTACACACAACAATAAACAGCAATTCAAAAATGGTGAAAAATTAAATGGTTGATAATACCAATTATAACATAATTGTCTATTTTTAGTTTATAGAACTGTTACCTACAGAAAAATGCCAGTCTCTTTGGACATGATATCAATGGTGAGTATTTTAAATGTTCTCAAGATAATGAAGCTTATGGTAGGTTAAACTGAAATAATTTAAAAGATTATGAACATAGGCATAAAAATTCAAACAAATTCTGGCCTAATAAAAATGCATGTACTATTTATTAAAGAACCATATAACCAAGACTTCAGAATTTTATCAATCACATTAATCTGCTAAAAAAGACAGAGAAAATTTTTTTTTTTTTCCCAGATGAATTGGTGTAGAAGAGAAAATTTTTTTATTGCAATATAAGATGTTACATTTTCCCCTGGAAGAAATTGCTTATTTTGCATCTTATAGTTCAGTCTAGATTTAGAAATAATTTTTATGAAGCAGCAAACATATCCTAATTAGCTTATGTTTTCAGGGAGCTGTCTCAATCATTTAGGAGTCAAACTTTGTTTTAGGGCCACTAAGCCTCCTATATCCAATCTCGGAAGAAAAGGGTAAGTGAGGACTACCATTCATATTTTCACTGACTTTAAGATTGTTCATTCCCATATTTTTACATCTATAAAATTGGGATCTTAAAATCAATGGTGTGTCTTTCACTGGCAACATTTTTTTTCTTAGTGGTATATAATAATAGTGCATGTTATAATCGATGGCTTCTTGAATTTGATGAAATTCCATAGCATCAGAATGTAAGCTATGGGTAGTAAAAGTAAGAATTCTTGATTATTTGGGCAGTTTTCATCCTTGGAAATAGTGTAGTTGCCAATATATACATTAAGTTTAGGCCTCTAGCTTAACTCCATTCAGAAGTGTTCCAAGTTAGCAAAAAGAAGGTCATGTTGACTGCCTGCTGGGTCCTGCCTATTGTGAGCAAAATTCCCCTTGCACACAGTGGTATCTTTATCCTTAGCAAGGATGGAAGCAATGTGGAGTCACAAGATTTGATTCAGTATAGTGGCCCTACAGTTGCTGATTTAGTGAAAAATTTGGTACCTCAACTAGACGCAACTAAATACCTAAGCCCAATGTTGATTGTCAATACAGGTGCAAATATTAATAACTCTAACTAGCCAAGACATATTGCTGAATTAGTTAATAAAGCATGCTGTTCCTGTGCTGGCCACACTCTCCACTGGCAACACGTGAAGAGTGCTGATGTTTCAGCCCTTGTCTTTACCTCACTGAGCAATCTACCCAACATGCACGCCCATGTCTACAGGAGCAAGGTTTTCCCCTTTAATCTAGTTCAGGAGACCTTTCTGATTTAGAAGATACAGAAGGGCTGTCCAGAAAGTATCCAGCCATGTAATATGAAAACTATGTTAACAATGGCTGGATACTTCCAGATAGTCCTCGTAATTAATTAATAGTCCTAGACCTCTATAAGTAGGTCACAATAAATAAAACAAAACACATCCGAAGTTAAATATTTCTTGCCCAAATATTACCTTTTGCTACCTGATTTCGACAAGCACGAAGGGACTGAAAAAGGCTAAATCCATCAATAGTCACAATGGCAGCTGGATATAGGATACTCAACTCTTCATTCTATTTAAGAAATAAGAAAAAAATAATAAAATTTCTTAAATAGATATGCCAAAGAGGCATTATCTATTTTGTTGAGACCCAGAGCCATTTGTTGCTCAGGCAGAGTGAGTGCCTGGCGTCAGCCTACCTCACAGCAACTCAACTCCTGGGCTTAAGCGATCCTCCTGCCTCAGCCCCCAAGCAGCGGGACTACAGGCATGCACCACCATGCCCGGCCTAATTTTTTGTGTATATATTTTTAGTCAATTCGTTCTTTCTTATTTTTTTTTAGTAGAGATGGGGTTCGCTGCTCAGGCTGGTTCGAACTCCTGACCTTGAGCGATCCACCCACCTCGGCCTCCAGTGTGCTAGGATTATAGGCGTGACCACTGCGCCTGGCCATCTCTGTATTTTTTTTTTTGATAAGTCTAAGTTTTGCTATGTATTTTTGATGCCTAATATTGTACTGTCAAACACTAGTGCAAAAAAAATGTGCTTCATCTTTTACCTATAATTCTGCAGTTTAAAGTTGCTTTTTTTTGACACAGAATCTGCTCTGTCTCCAGTAGAGTACAGTGGTACTCATAGCTCAACTGCAACGTCAAGCTCTGGCTCATGCAATCCTCCTGACTTAGCCTTCTGAGTAGCTGGACTACAGTCACATGCCACCACACCGCAGCAGTTTTTCTATTTTGGTAGCACCAAAATTGTGTGAAGACCGTAAAGCATTTTGTCTCCTAGGAAGAAAAGAATAAGCCACTTAGTGCCCTCTATTTTAAGCTGCTTTAAAAAGAATTCTGGTTATTTAGCCACAATTGTTATGACACTTATTTCAGCATATAGGAAAATTCTCTCTCTTGGCCTATTATCAAATCTCAGGGTAGAGGGTTATACAGTCTCGCAGTGTTACAGGCTGACGCCACGGCACTCACTCTAGCCTGAGCAACAAAGTGAGGGGTCTCAAACTCCTAAAGCGCAAGCGATCCTCCCCACCTCTACCTCACTGAATGCTATATTACAGCATAAGCACAATGCCCAGCCTAAAGGTACATTTTTTTTGTGAGACAGAGCCCACTCTGTTGCCCGAGCTAGAGTGCCATGTCATCAGCCTAGCTCACAGCAATCTCAAACTCCTGGCTCAGGTGATCCTCGCTGCCAGCCTCCCGAGTACTGGACTACAGAATGCACTACCATGCCAGCTAATTTTTTCTATATAGTTTTAGTGTCAATTAATTTCTTTCTATTTTTAGTAGAGATGGGGTCTCACTCTGCTGCATCTGGTTTCGAACTCCTAACCTTGAGCAATCCACCCGCCCTGGTCTCCCAGAGAACTAGGATTATAGGCATAAGCCACCTCGCCTGGCCTAAAGGTTACATTTTTAAAAGACTGATTACATGATCATTATATGGACAACTGTCTGTAGAAGAATTAAGTCAAATAGTAGTGACTAAAAGTTGTGCAAGAACTGTCTGCTGAGCTATAATCAATCATTATTAAAATTGCTGCACATTTCTGAAAGACATAAAGCCATGAGTCTGAATTTCCAATGTCTCACTAGAGTGATACATTTTTTCAGCAAAAGAAAAATGTCATTTTTAAATAAAATGAATACTCCAATCAAAAGTATATAAGAAATAAATCTAATGATAATTATGAAACTAATAATACTTACCCAACCACAGCATGACAATTAGTGCCAGCAATATCTTGTAGACGCCAATTTCTTATAACTAATGGTGGTGGTTGTATATCTCATTGCCCTGATCTGCAGCTATCCTACAAAGATGAAAAAAGAACAGACAATCAAAAATACTTATAATGGATAAGATAAAGTTTTACAAAAAATCAATAAAAATAGAACTAATTTATATTCTAAGATTTCACTAATCAGAGTATTCCATACAAGAGCTATGCAGTAAATAGAAAAAGATGACCTAAGAGTCAGATATCCTCTGTTAGCCCCTCTAGATTCACACTCCTTCTTTTTGTCCCTGCTCACCCTCTCTCTGTCCCAGGGGCCAGTGTGTATAAGTCACACTGACTTTAAGTTGGGTGCAGACAATGGGAAAACCCATCAGGTGACTAAAGACAGAAAGGAGAATGAAGTCAGGATATCTATTTTCCTGGCTCCTTCCCTGAAAAGCTGGCTATGACCCTTGAACAAAAGTCATCCTGTTCTCCAGATGCTGATTCTACTCATTATCTCTAAGTTCTGAAACTGCTCCCTGCCCTCATCTCTTTAGGCCTAGGAATGGTTAACAGCTTGGCTGCTAAGAAGTCCTGGGATACTGTCCTACCTCTTGTGGTTTTCCTACATCACATCTTTATAAATAGCTCTCTGTAAATAAACCTTCTTACAATTATCTTGTTTCAAGTACACCATCTGTCTTCTATTAGGACACTGACCAATAAAATGTATGTTTAATAAAATTGATGTGAAAGGCTCTTCATGATATACCGATTAGAAAAGAGCTATATGTCTTTATATGGCCATAAATATATTACACATGTACTTACACACACACCACACACACATTAGAAAGTCTGTAAGGATGTTTACCAAAATGCCAATGGGGAGTATCTCTGGATAGGGTTTAAAGATAATTTATTTTTCTTTTCTCTTTATATATATATTATTATTTGAATTTTCTTAACAAGCACATATAAAAACAAAATACATACATTTATAAATAGTATGTCCTCCTTCTATATACCCATTTCTACTCCTTTAATTCAAAGCCCACTACTTTTTACCAAGATTATTATAGCTTCTTTACTAGATGCAGTTTCTAATTTTGATCCCTCTATTCCAGCCTATAAACTATCACCAAAGTGATTTTTCTCAAAGGCAAATGTGATGACGTTATCTGCTTGCTCAGAATTCTTCAGTGGCTCTCAATGTAGCCAGGAGAAAGATCTAAATGAAAATATTTAGCTATTTCTCTGCACAGTATAATAGGCCCTTCAAAACCTGACTCCTTTCTACATATTTGGCCTCACTCTTGCCAGTTATCCCCAGCACTTACTGTTTTTCCTGCATACTATGCACTTTTACCCTTACATCTATGCATATGTTGTCTGGAATGCCTTCTCTGTGCTTATTCTCTTGATCAAGTCCTACTCATTCTTTCAATTTCAGATTACAGTCAGACTCCTCCTCCCTGATGCCCTCAATGCTAAGGGCTTTTTCCTCTGCTCCCACTACAGTTAGTCCACTTGTCTGTCACAACAATCATTATGTTGTAGTACTGCAGCTATTCTTATGTGTTTCTTCCAACTTCTGGATGGCAGAGACCATATTTTTTCATCTCTGTATTTTTTGTTTGTTTGTTTGTTTGTTTCACACTCATTGCTTCCAGATTTGAATTAGAGGAAATTTGCTTCTGTGATCTCTGATAGATCTGGGAGTATATTAAAAAGTATATAGGTCAGGCACGGTGACTCACACCTGTATTCCTAGCACTCTGGGAGGCCGCGGTGGGTGGATCGCTTGAGGTCAGAAGTTTGAAACCAGACTGAGCAAGAGCGAGACCCCCTGTCTCTACTAAAAATAGAAACAAATCAATTGGCTAACTAAAAATATATAGAAAAAATTAGCCAGGCATGGTGGCATGTGCCTGTAGTCCCAGCTACTCGGGAGACTGAGGCAGGAGGATTGCCTGAGCCCGGGAGTTTGAGGTTGCTGTGAGCTGAGCTGACGCATGGCACTCTGGCCCAGGCAACAGAGTGAGACTCTGTCTCAAAAAAAAAAAAAAGCATATTTTTTATATATAAATTGATGTCTCAGCTGGGTCTGGTGGCTCATGCCTGTATCCTAGCACTCTGGGGCCAGTGGGCGGATTGCTCGAGGTCAGGAGTTCAAAACCAGCCTGAGCAAGAGCAGACCCCGTCTCTACTATAAATAGAAAGAAATTAATTGGCAACTATATATATATAGTGGAAAATTAGCCGGGCATCGGTGGCGGCATGCCTATAGTCCCAGCTACTTGGGAGGCTGAGGCAGGAGGATTGCTTGAGCCCAGGAGTTTGAGATTGCTGTGAGCTAGGCTGATGCCACAGCACTCTGGCCCAGGCAACAGAGTGAGACTCTGTCTAAAAATAAATGAATAAATAAATAAATAAACTGATGTCTCAGATGCAGAGATGCTTGCATAACATACAGAATAACAACAAATATAATACTTCCTTCTCCATGATCAATAAGAATTTTTTCAGGCCGGGCGTGTGGCTCACGCCTGTAATCTAGCTCTTGGGAGGCGAGGCGGGGATTGCTCAAGGTCAGGAGTTCAAACCAGCCTGAGCAAGAGCGAGACCCGTCTCTACCTATAATAGAAAGAATTAATTGGCCAACTGATATATAATATATATATAAAATTAGCCGGCATGGGTGGCGCATGCCTGTAGTCCAGCTACTCGGGAGGCTGAGCAGAAGATCCACTCAAGCCAGGAGTTTGAGGTTGCTGTGAGCTGGCTGACGCCACGGCACTCACTCTAGCTGGAACAAAAGTGAGACTCTGTCTCAAAAAAAAAAAAAAAAAAAAGAATTATTTTTCAGCTAAAAGATTATTTTCTTGTCTAATATAGCAAGCAATAGCAGCAGTATTTAAGTATTAGTTGTATTTTTCCACCAGTTCTAAAAATAGTATTTAAAGAAAAGGCTTACATTGAAAAATATTATTTAAGTTTGCCAAAGCTTCTGAATTAGTTTTTGCATTTATTCTTTACTTCCTCTCCTGATACTCTTGTGTATAGGTGGTGAGTTTATACAGTATTTTTTCTTCTCTTTCTTTTTTTTTTTAGGTTTGAGACAGTGTCTTGCACTGTGTTACCAGGGAGTGGAGAGCAGTGTGCAATCATGCTTAACTGTAACCTCAAATTCCTGCCTCAAACTATCCTAAACAACAATCACAAGCATCCATCAAGTAGAAAAAACAGGAATAATTAACAAGGATGATAGGAAACCCATGTCTGGCTATGTAGAGAGGAGTAGTGAGAGAGTAGAGATAATAGAGACAGAGTC